AGGGCTGTGCTGGCTGTCATAGGCCTTTAATGGTTACTCAGTGTGAACTTCAACCCCATGCACAGCCTGACATTGTTGTAGGTAAGGACAGAGGTGGGAGAACTGAAAGGAGGGAGAAGACTGGATGCTCGCCATGGGGGTGGGGAGGTGGTCAGGTCCTTTCCTAATGGACAAAAGCAATGTCTTGCCAGATGGAAGAGAGATATGTCAGAATTAGACGTGCTGAAGATGACAGACACCAAGAATCTCAGTCCCAGCAGCCAAAAGGATGGGTCATCATTTGCCACAGTGGGGCTGAGCACAGGAGCATTCTTCCTCACTCTGCATCCCCTCCACTCCTCTCTCCCCTCTTGAACAGACTTGCTGAAGGCCCTGGCTCCAGACAATCCTCGAGGGATTATAGCAAAGGCGTGGGAGGACATGGGGTGAAGGCTGGGGTCAGAGTCCAGCGAACAGCCACGTCTGAGCTCCTGCCTGGGAAGGGCAGAGCTGTCCTGTGGGAGGCACATGCTACCTTCAGTTCAGGCAAAGCATAGAAGGTGGGACACCAACAGCCTTCTCCCCAGCAGCAACAACCAGAGGTCTTTGGGGGTACTGGGCAAGTTTACGGCCCCAGCACAGACTTAACAAATCCGTTCACAATACATCATCTCCAACAACTTGTTTGGCTAAGGAGCATAAGCTCTCCCTCTGATAGAAGATGTTTATGCAGGTTTTCAAACAAACCTCCAGGTCATGACCCCTCCCTCTCAGCAGCATCAACACAGCTGCCTGTGGTCCCCTCCCTGTGTCCCCTCCCCCAAGGGGCCCCTCCTGGCACAGCAACCTGAAAAGTATGGACTGTACCAGGTTGCTGCTGGTCTGCTTCCAGCTTCTTCCTCCTCACCTCTGGAAAGGAAGGAAAAGCCTGGGGAGCTCTGGCAGACTTCTCCCAAACTCAGGGTCATGCATCTCCTGGTCCATGACTTCTGTGGCCATGGCATCCCCTACAAAAATGGAGACTTTGGTCTCTCCATTCAGCTTCCATGAAAAAGAAGTAGCTATTATATAAAAGGCCAGAACTGGCAGACCTGGGTGTTCCTCCCAGCTTTGCCTTGTAGCAACTGTGTGACTAGGGCTGAAGACAGGCCTCCATTTCTTACCTGTGACAGTGGCCTTGCCTCCTGCACAGGTTTGCTGTGGACAGGCCTGGTATCCCACAGGGACCTCTAACTGCCTCCCTCTCAGGGCTCAGAGGAAGGGCCTGCAGCCTCTGGCCTCACTTTCTTTCCATCCCCAAGGGATTCCAGTGTGTAGCCTGGGGTGGGTGGGTGGCTTGGCTGCTTTTCAAGTTTGGTGACTGTCATATTGAGAACAAATGCATGCTGCAGGATAGTGAAAGTCTAGAAAAAGAGAAAGTGTTCCTATTAAGAAATAATCCCTCTCAAACTTGTGGGGAAAGTGACAAAGTACACATGCACACACCCAACCAAAAAGGTTCCTGAGAAATCCTCTGAGTCACATCAGGTGGGATGTGTGGAAGAGATGGGTCAGCATTCTAATTCTTGTCCTTCCTGAGCAATGTCAAGGTGGATGCTATGGTTTGAATAAGTGTCCCCTAAAGGCCCATGTGTTAAAGGTTTGGTCCCTAGCCCATGGCACTATTGGAAGGTGGTGGAACCATTAAGAGGTATGGCCTAGTGGGAGGAAGTTAGGTCACTGAGGGCATGGCATGCCCTTTCAGAGGAAATTGGAACCCTGGCCCTTTTCTCTATCTTTCTTTTTCCTTCCTGGCTACTGTGTGGTGAGCAGCTTCCTCTGCTACATACTCCCATATCATGATGGGCTGCCTCACCACAGGCCCAAAAGCAATGAGGCCAACTGACCATGGACTGGAACTTCTAAAACTGTAAGCCAAAGTAGACTTTTCCTCTTTTTATGTTGATTATCTCAAGTATTCTGTCACAGTGACACAAAGAGGCTAACACAGTAAGCCTGGCAGGTGGCTTTCTTCTGTCAGTGAAGACTTGCTTTTCCCACCAATAGTCTGTTAGGAAATAAGGTATAAACCCTACTTACCTGCTGGAAGACTTTGCCATCCTGCAGGGCTATGCTGGGGTTCCAGGTCTCCCCATCCAGCATTGTACTCAGCTAAGCCAAGGACACTGCTGACCTTCCCTCGGAATGATAAGAATTCCAGGATACATCCTGCCTCTGAGGGTGTTGATGCTTGGGCTGCTGGAGCCCTGTGAGGCCTTCCTTTGCTCAGCTCCATACCTCCAGCCACTTGTGTATGCATCCATCCACTCACTCAGCAAACATGTTATTGGCTACTAGTTCCCAGCACCGGGCAAAGGCTGCAAACAGACAACCTGTAGACTGAAACTGAGTCATACGCAATTGTATTTGGCCCATACAGTTGTTTGTTGTAAATTTTGAATTAACTGCCAGTTTAAACGTGTGGAAATTGCATTTAAAAATCTGATCTCTGGATTTCTCTTAACAATTAATCTTGCAACAGTGGTCTGACCACATAGTGGAAAAACTAACTCAAATTCAGTTTGTCTTCCTACACATTTGTAATACAAGTCTCTTCCCTGACCCTAAAAGGTATGGGGATTTCTCCCCACCAGCAAGCAAGCAGTTCATTCTGCAGTGGAAGCATCTAGACATCCTCTAGAGCAATTCCATTCCAACACTGTCCACTCAGAGACAGTATCAGGATGAGGGCTCAGTCCCAAGACAGTCCCCACTTCCAACAACAGCCATGAGTCCAGGCCTCCAGAACTTCTGACTGACTGGCTACAAACTAGGGTGCACATAACCCCATCTTGAGGCTCCATTAATTTACTACAGTGGAAGCACTTATGTTTTCCTGTTCATTATAAAAGACATTTCAAAGGACACAAAACCAACAGATGGAGAGATGCACAGAGCTAGGTTTGCAAGGGCCCTGTACAGGCGCTCCTAGTCTGTGGACTTGGGATGTCCCACTGGTGTATGGGTGAGTTCTTGCTCACTTCCTATGTGCCTCCATGTGTCCAGCCCTCTAAATATTGTCATTTTAGGAGTTTTTATGGAAATTTCATTGTATACTGGGTAGGGAAACCCAGGAAGACCTGCTGCTTAGATTCTTTTTGGCCTTCCTGTTCAGTATTCATCCCCTAGGTATAGGGAAGGACCTCTTTGAAATGGGAGTCTTATAAAACAAGGTAGGTCAGAGAATTCCTATGGCCTGCTCCAAGACAGAAAGGCAGGGAAAGATTAGAGTATAGTTGTAGTTTCTATGACCTGCTTTGAGGAAGAGAAATTCTAGTTTCTATGGCCAACTGTGGGGAGGAAAAGTAGCAGGTGAAAGAAGGGCAGGAGAAAAATCAGAGAGATTTTGCATTCTAAGGACAAATTGTCCCAACATTTTTTCTAGTCCTCGAGGAAATAACAAGAGCTCTGGTAATTATGAGCCAGGAATTAGACAAAAACCAAAAAATATGTATCATGCTATCATAACTGGTCACAGTCCCATCTGACCACATTCAAATGGCCACATTCATCAGTTGTTCCTTCTCTGGGTGACACAGGCCTAGTTGCTCCTTTGGTCCACCTGCTTCACTCATTCAGTCTACCTGCTGGCCCTCCCTGTAGACAGTTTATCTTTTATTCCTTGTTACTAATAATAACAAAAACTAACAAAGATGCTCATCGACTTATGAGGTTACATCTCGATAAACCCATCGGAAGTTGAAAATATGGTAAGTCAAAAATGCATTTAGTGCAGGACTGAGGGGAGGGAAGGATAAAGGAGAATGATGAAGGGGGTGAACTCAACTGTGATACATTGTAAGAACTTTTATAAATGTCACAATGTACCTCCAATACAACAAGAATATGACAATTTAAAAAAACATAAACATTCTGTTCTCTGGCAAAATCTCCAGGAATGTATTATATCACATTAAAGATAAATATTTAGTAAAAGAAGATGCATTTAGTTCACCTGACCTACCAAACATCATAACCCAGCCTCACCCACCTTTTTTTTTTCTTTTATTCATATGTGCGTACAATGTTTGGGTCATTTCTCCCCCCTTCCCCCATCTTAAAGTGTTCAGAACTCTCACATTATCCTACACTTGGGTGAAGTCCTCTAGCACAAGCCTGATTCATAATAAAGTGTTGAATATCTCATGCAATTTATTGAATACTGTACTGAAAGTGCAAAACAAGATGATTGTATGGACATGCTTCCACGTGGTCATGAAGTCAAAACACTGTACGTGGGACCATCATTAAGTCAGGAATCAATGACGTTAAGTGTCATTGATCAAGCACTTGCAGGGTGCCAGGCTTGATCTATTCTGAGTATGGTGGACATACGGACTCATTTCAGCCTCTTAATGAGGACACTATTCTCCCCATTCATTCAAGAAATATTTAGTGAGGGCCCCAGCATGCCAAGCACCATTCTGGCAATGAAGTTGCAGTTGGGAGCAACAGGAATCCATCCCTTCTTGGCACACACTCCCTGGATAGCCAGTGGTGGTGGGCTGGGTGGGGAAGACGAGTGTGCTGTTGTAAATAGAGTGGTCAGTATAGGCCTTGCTGAGAAGGTGACATTTAAGCCAAGATGTGACAGAGGCAAAGGATTAGGAAACATCCTGGGCAGAAAGAGGTTAAGAAATTTGCCTTGGGTCATACACCTCATTAAGTGGCAAGGCTGGGATGGGCACAGAGCTGGTTCCTGAACTGTGCTCCTAACCTCTGCATTATTAGGCTCAATGTGGAATGCTGGCCTTCCCCGATGCACTCTAAGTGTAGGCAGAAACCTTAGGGGAAGATAGGCAGAAACCATCTCTACTCTTAGAAGGCTAAAGTTGGTGGAAGAGGAGGCCTTGGTCCAAGAATCCCACCTCCTTCCTATTTTTTCCTCCTAGGAGACCAAGATGAAGTGATTGCCTGCTCTCAGCTCTTTATTTTAATCTCATGATTAAAATAAAGATCTGGGAGTCCCTCCTCCCAAGATCTGTCCACAAATCCCCCTAATCCACCAGCACCCGAGTCCCCATCCTACAGCTGTGCAGAGCCCCGGCAGCCAGGAGAACACACGTGTCCTTCCCACCCGCCCTGCGGCGCCCACTCTGTCTCACCCATGGGGAACAGCAAGAGCGGGGCCCTGTCCAAGGAGATCCTGGAGGAGCTGCAGCTCAACACCAAATTCACGGAGGAGGAGCTGTGCACTTGGTACCAGTCCTTCCTGAAGGACTGTCCCAGCGGCCGCATCACGCGGCAGGAGTTCGAGAGCATCTATGCCAAGTTCTTCCCCGACGCTGACCCAAAGGCCTATGCCCAGCACGTGTTCCGCAGCTTCGATGCCAACAGCGATGGCACCCTGGATTTCAAGGAGTATGTCATCGCACTGCACATGACCACCGCGAGCAAGCCCACGCAGAAGCTGGAGTGGGCCTTCTCCCTCTACGACGTGGACGGCAACGGGACCATCAGCAAGAACGAAGTGCTGGAGATCGTCATGGTCAGCCTCTGCTCTCCCCTTCCACCTGCGCGGGATGGGGACCAAGGGCACTGCTGGGCGGCTACTGCAGAAGGGCCACCCTGGGGGGAGTAGGGGTCTCCAGTCAGTGGCTGTGAGAGCAAGGGAGGAGGGGTCCTCCATATACTGAGCAGAAAAGGGGGCAGGGCCGTCCCACAGTCACATTTGCTTCCTAAAGAATCAAGGCATTTCCTAATAGTTTCCTTTTTTATTCATTTCTTTCCTTCCTCCTTCCTGTCCCTCTCCTCCTACATTCCTTCTCTCCTTCCTTTCCTTCCTCCTTCCTCTCCTTTGCTTTCTTTTCTTCCTTCCTCTTTCCCTCCCTCCCCTCCCCTTCCTCCTTTCCTTCCTTCCTTTTCTCTCCTTCTTTTCCTCCCTTTCTTCCTTCTTTTTTCTCCTCCCTCCAACCTTCCCACATTCCTTCCCCTCCTTTCTTCCTTCCTGCCTTCCTGCCTTCTTGCCTTTCTGCCTTCCCTCCCTTCCTCCCCATTCCTCTCTCCCTCAGTCTTCTTTCTTCATTGTCTCCTTCAAATTTTTTAGCAATACACATTCAAATTCTATCACAATGAAATTGAAGCACACTATGTTTCAAGTATGAAGTAAGAAGAGTTCACAGTTGGGGACGTGGAGTCTGAATTCTGGTTCTGATTGGTGTTCTTCTTAATGCCAGGCCGTCACTGCATGGCTGTGCCTGGTTTTATAGGCTGTCACCCCTTCTGTATGTGCTCATTGCATCCTCAGAGCTTTACAGCCTCCTCACTGGCTCCTGCCCCTCCCCCCAGGCCTCCCATCATGCCTTCTCCTCTGTCCAACCTGCCCTGGGGTCAGATCATTTGTTCTTAATATTTAGGTGTCTTGAAAATAGGTCTTCTCTAATAGTAAATAATCCATGAAATTTAGAAACATGCAAAAGAAAATTAAGATTGCTGTCAATTCCTACATCTAGAGAAAACTATGGTTAACAAGTTGCTATTTTTCTTTCCACTCTTTTGTCTATGTAATTTTTCACAACTCTAGGATTATAACATATTTACATACGATTTTTACTACACTTTTTTCAGTAACTCTTTCATCATGAGTGTTTTCCAGGTCATTATACATCCTTCAGAAACATTTTGTTTTACTTTTGAAATGGAGTCTTACGTACAGCCCAGGCTGGCCTCAAGTTCTCAATCCTCTTTATCTCCTAAGTAGCTGAGATTACAAGTGCGTGCCACCACAGCCAGTTTAAAAGCATTTTTAAGTGCTGCTTAAAATTCCCTCCTATGGAAGCCAGGTGTTGGTGGCTTATGCCTATAATCCTAGCTACTTGGGAGGCTGAGATTGGGAGGATTCTGCTTCTAAGCCAACCTGGGCAAAAAAGTTTGTGAGATCCCATCTTCCCCAATTCACGATGGGCATAGTGGCACATACTGTCATCCCAGCCAGCGGGAAGCATAAAACAAGATGATGTTGGTCCAGCCTGGGCAAAAAAGTAAGTCCCTATCTCCAAAACAACCAGAGAAAAAGGGCCGGAGGAGTGACTCCAGTGGTACAGCACCTGCCTAACAAGCACAAAGTCCTTGAGTTCAAACCCCAGTAACCACAAAAATAAATAAATAAATAAATAATTCCATCCTGTGAAATTGCCATAAAGGTTATTTAAATATTCCTATATTTTAAGACATTACAGGGTTTCATTCATTTTTTTCTTACTATATCATTTCTGGTGTTGCCTCCTTCCTTTTTCTTTTCTGTTTTTTTTTTTTTTTTTTTTTTTTGACAGTACTGGGGTTTGAACTCAGGGCCTTGTATTTGCCAGGCAGGTGCTCTACCACTTGAGCCATGCCCCCAGGCCTCCTCTTTTAATATCTTCTTGCTTGAAATTCTTTTTTAATCCCCCTGCCCTATATCACTTCCTTTATGTTTCTAATTCCATTCCTGTTAGGAGGGAGAATACCTTTCATATTTTATATAATTTTTTGTGCATTTACAATCATACTTTTATTTGAGGAATTCTTCCACTTATTAGGAGAAACCATACATAAAAGAGCAAAGCATGCAGTTTGTGACCATCCTTGGAACTTGGCTTGAGCCTCCTGCTAAGGGCAGGCATATGTTAACATCACTCTCAGCAGGACACAGCCTGAACAGCAAGCTCCTCTTGGTTGGCTGTGGGGTCTCTGGATGGCATGGAATGGGATCTAAAGGGTGTTGGGACCAAGAGAGGAGTTTGTTCTCCACCAGGAAAAGGAAGGGGAAGGGGAGGAGAGGGAAAGGAGGGAGGAAAGGCAGGAGGAAGAGGGTGCCAATGACTGAATCTGGGCAAGGTGGCACAAGGCCCTGCTGTTCACTAGGTCACAAGGTCACTTTTAGGGTACTGGTCTGGAAGCCAGAAGTAATGAGTTCTAGCCCCAGCTCTAACACCACTAGCTATGTGGCCGTGGGAAAACCTTATCTCTTCCCTGGGCACAGGGTGAGGTTTCCATGATTTCTGCGGCCTTTCCCAGGTCCCTGAAGATCTGTCTCCCTGTGTTGGAAATGGGGTGCAGCAGGCAGCCAGCCATTCCCAGCATTAGCTGTCACAGCTATACATGGTACCTGTGGCACAGGAGAGACAGAGGCATTCTGGAAACCACCTGAACCTCCATCCATTTCAGGAGCAACACATGCTGTTAGCAAGCTTGCTGTCTTGAGCTTCGAGGGTTGACTTCCTTGGTCTTCTTTGTCTAGCACCAGGCAACTGAGTGGGAACTTCCCAAAAAGCTGTTGACCTTCCTGGACTCCAGGCTGATTTCACAGGCATTACTGGGCCCTGCCTAACCTGCTTCTAGGTGTCTCCAGGGAGGCAGAGGCTCTGGCCAGAGACACCCAATTCCTGTGCTAGTACAGTTGCCTACACCCTGAGCCTGCCCAGCACCAAGGATCTATGGCTTTGGTCCACTCTGGGCCTGGCCAACCTGGGTGTTACCGAACCAGTAGAAATCTAGATACCTGGAACTAGAAGAGCACATCATTGAGGTCACCTTGTCTGCTTCTCTGATGTCATAGGTCTGGAGGTACTTCCAGCTTTGGCCCCATGTTGTACACCTGACTCCTTGATGAGAGTGAGCAGAGGGAGGTGAGAAGGATCACTGAGCCTGCAGTTTAGCTTTTCTTGAGCAGCAGGATGAATGAGGCTTCCTGTACCCTGAGAGACCTTTGTCTTAGTGGCTCTCTTCCCCTTTCTGCAGCCTCTCCCAGTGCTCTTCAGTGATGAGAACAGCTAGTATAGTACAGGATGCAGTTTCTAGAACCAAACTGCTTGGTTAGAATCTCTGTTCCCTCCTGGGTGACTTTGGGGAAGTAAGTTTGTCTCAGTTTCTCCATCTATGAAATGGGACCAATAATAACCATTTCATAAGTTTGCTGTTGAGCAACACATAAGTGCTCAACAAATGTAAGCTAGTATTACTATAAGCCAGTTCTGCTGGGAAACCAAGGAACCTCATGGACCCCAAAGAAACTGTACTCTAAAACCTGTGGGCAGTAGGGTCTGTGGTAATAGTTCTCAAACTCCACCCTCAGGGCTTCTGTGAGATCCTTCCTATTATCACTAGGAAGTTTTTATTTCTTATTTTCATTGTTTTAAAATGAAAGGGTTATAGTTAAGTGTGATGGGCCATGCCTACAATCCCAGCACTAGAGAGGCTGGAGTGTCAGGATTGTAAGTTCAAGGCCAGCCAGGACTACATAGTGAGACCCTTTCTCAAAAAAGAGAGGGGAAAATAGAAGGGTAGAAGAAAGGATTGTGTCTACATTATCAGAAAATTTAACAATACAGAAAAACAGGTACTGTACTGTCATGAGAGTTAAAACTGCAGATACCTGGCCCTATGGCCAGGAATTTCAACTCAGTAGAATGTGGGGATCTGGACACCTGTATCATAACCACTGTGTACAGGATGCCCAATTCCTGTGTATTTGGGCACTGAGGGAGGGAATCTGTGTTTGAAGTGGCAAAAGTCCTTCCTTTAATGGCTGCACCATTTCCCACCAACAGTGTATCAGGGTCCCTTTTTCTTCACACTTTCACCAACACACTTTCTCTTTCTCTCTCCCTCCCTCCCTCTCTCTCTCTCTCTCTCTCTCTCTCTCTCTCTCTCTCTCTCTCTCTCTCTCTCATGTGTGTACACACATGCACGTTCTGGAGGATCAAACTCAGGGAGTTTGCTAAACCCCTCTCTTGTCTAGTAGCCATCCTAGCAGGTGTAAGGGGTTATCTCATGGTGGTTGATTTGCATTTCCCTAATGAGTAGTACTATGGAGCACCTTTTCATATACTTGTCCATTCACACACCTTCTTTGAAGAAATGTCTATTCAAGTCCTTTGTCCATTTTTTTAGCTTTTGTATTTTTGAACTCAAGGGCCTGAACCTGCTAATCAGACACGTCACCACTTGAGCCATGCCCCCAGCCTTTCTGTTTTAGTTATGTTTTGAATAGGGTCTCCTGTTTATGCCCAGGCTAGTCTGGACAGAAATCCTATTTACACCTTCCTACTCAAGATCACTGGTGTGTGCCACTATGCCCAGTTCATTGATTTAGATAGAAACCTGCTAACTTTTTCCCAGGCTAGCCTCGAACTCCATCCTCCCAACCTCTGTCCCTCAAGTAGCTAGAATTACAGGTGAGAGCCAGCTTGCCCAGATTTTTTTGCACATTTTAAATTTGGTAGTTTGCTCATTTACTATTGAGTTCTATAAACCCCTTATACAGGATATCCCTTTTAGATATTAATCCCTTATTAGATTCATGATTTGCAAGTATTTCCATCATTGTGTTTTCACGTTTTTTTCCTCTACTGTACAAAAGCTTTCTAAGTTTGATGTAATCCCACTTGTCTATTTTTGCTTTTGCATCCAGTCCCCAAAAAGAATCATTATAAGATCAATGTCAGGAAGCTTTTCCCTATGTTTTCTTCTGGGAGCCAGTTAGTTTCAGGCTCTAGGTTTCAGTCTTTTATCCATCTTTTGTGTGTATGGTGTGAAACGGGTTTTACCAGGACTGCCTCCTCCTTCTAACAAGTTATCTTGATTTGGTACAGGCTATTTTCAAAATGATCAATCCTGAGGATGTGAAGAACCTTCCAGATGATGAAAACACCCCAGAGAAGCGGACAGAGAAGATCTGGGCATTCTTTGGAAAGAAGGATGATGGTGAATTCCTTTTTCATTATTGCCTTTGATCTTCCAGCCTGGGGCTGTATCCTGGAAACCCCAAAAGGATTTTTTTCTTCTGAGTCACCCAGTAGGACTGGGAACACCTGGTGTCATTATGTATGAGAGCTGTCTGCAGGGGTATTCAGGGGGAGAGGAATGACTAGAAGGGCCAGCAAGGGCTAGTTCTGCTGCCACCCTGAAGCCATCACTGCTGAAGGGAGATGCCAGCGTAACTCCATCACTCACAAAAGTCATTTGCCACCCGCAGTCCTTTGGAAAAAGCAAAGCTCTAAATTATGGAGTGCTTTTGAAGGAAAACATCTTTTGTCATAAAAGAGTTAACCTATATTTAAAGAATGGTATAATGTAAAGTCAATAAGGTCATTATCTTAGAGAAACTGCAACCCCCTTTTTCTTTAAGTAGTCTGCTTTTAAATACTTCAGTTTACTCGCTTTTAAAAATGCTCTCTGCAAAACCAGAACAAGGGAAAACTGCAGCTCAGTCTAGCCACGAATTAACATCTAGGCCCAAGTAACTGGAGTCCAAATGCATCTGGAATGTGTAGGAAGTTAGCTTGGTCCTCCAAGAAGCACAGCCAATGTGGGCTTAGGTTTAAATCACATTGAAAGAGATTTATTGGGAGGAAGCCAATAAGGAGGAATGTGGAGGGATTTAGTGGAGACTAGGAAAGCCGTCACACTGCTGATCTCTCCCCCTCCCCCGCATCAGGGAGAGAGGAAAGGAAGGAAGGTTGGGTAAGAAATGTCCAGACTGTAGAGTCCTTCTAGGACAGCAATGGCAAAGCCAATGGGGTGTCCTCAGTGGGCCATCTTGCCCCTGGCCCTGCTCAGACATTGGCAGGAAGCAGCCTATGGGAAGTGTAGAAAGTAGTGATGGATTCCAAAACCTGACAGCTGGAGCTACTGGTCCACGGCTCTCAGGGCCACTACTTGGAAGGATGCGGTAGTTGTTGGTGTTAGGCACAGGCTACAAGTTCATAGGCCACAAAGGCCAGAATGATGAAAATGAGTTGACCGTAATCTCACTAAGTGATGTGACTGGTAAATAGGTCTGATGGCTTCCAGCATGTGTGAGAATATGGAATCCATTGGTGCCAAATCATCTGATTTTCTTTTATTTTTAAAGAGAAGCCAGCAAATTGAGTTGTTTAAAATCTGAAGTGTCTCAATCAATAAAACACAGCATAGCCCAAAGAACTCCAAGGGACAAAACTGGCCCCCTTCATGTTCTCTGGGGTGCTCTCTTACCAGGATGCAAGAAGAATCCTGACTAGCTCACAGATCAGGGCAGATGGAAGTGATCTGTGCCTGCTAATATGCAGTCCAATGATGAAGTCAGGGAGTCGTTAGGATGGGAACCAGTCCCAGCCCCAGCCCCAAATTCACATTGCATGAAAGTGAATGCCTCCTTAAATCTCCTGCCTTGGCACTTCCTCACTTCACCCTGATCCCAGTCCTGGAGCACCTTTTCCACTTCTGCAGGGACCCAGAACAACTTCTTGTGGCATTTCACTCACTGACTCTTTGAGCTCTTTAATCCCCTTCATAACCTCCCTCTGGGTCTGTCCATGTGGTGTGTTGAGTTCTCTGCCCTGCTATTGCTAATCTGAAAACTGACCCAAGCAAGCACTGGAGGAGGGGTGGTGTCAGAGAGCCAGGTGTTACTTCTGCCTGGTAATGCATGTGTTTTCACATAGCCTTTCTGGAGACAATGGGTGGCAGGCTCTGATACTAAGAATTTCAAGTTCTGTGTAAGACAGGGAGAAGAAGAGGCAGTTGGAACTATAACATCCACATTTCACCACCCAGATTTGTTCAGGAAACCATCCTGGGTCCTAACCTCCAAAAGGATTAAGGATGCCCAAAGGCCCAGAACATAAGCCAATGGAAATTGAATTCAGTTCAGTAATGCTTTGTTGAGCACCTACTATGTGGGAGGAACTGCAAGCAATCAACCATGAATAGAGAGGAGACAAATTTCTACATAGGACTGTCTTCCCCATCAAACCCAGAGATTCCTGGAGAGGGAATTTATCTTATTGTCCCCTGTGCCATGCCCCACTCTCTGCTCCCTGCAATGGCTTCAGCCCTAAGCACCAGGGCATCTGGCTCACAGAGGAAGGGGCAGCGACGTGCATTCAGCCACTGAAAAACACTGGGGACCTGACTGGAGGAACAAGATCCTCTCTCCATGGAGGTTCCAAGTAAGAAGGTAGATCTTATCAGGGGACATGCAAATGGATGCATAGGAAGGAATCATAGAAAAGCTGTCAGCTCATGGGGTTGCCTGTGTGCTATGGGAACAAGAGAGACTCTTCAAGCCAGGACCTCTCTGACATCTTGTTGTCCCCTCACCTCCCTCTTGCTGCTCCCTGGAAGGACATGGCTTTTGTTTCACCACTGAGACTCTGAACTTACCATCTGGGTTATTTTGTTGTGCTCAGTCCACCAGAAGTACCCTCCAGAACTTTAGGCTTGAGACTTGGGTAATTTCGAAAGTATACTAAGATAGTTATTATATAATAATAATAATAAGTTAATAAATAATTAAACAATAATTATTTAAATGTGTGATAACCAGCAAGGTAGGGCACCGTCAAATCAGAAGAGACACAGGTGTTGCATTCTGGAGACCTCCACAGGCCGTTCATTGGTCTTCTTGTTGCTGCCTTGTGGGGCTTGGGGAGGTGTTGGGTATCTGAGGTGGTGGGAGGTGGACCCTCGGGGACACTAAGTATTCAATATTTTCACAATAGATATAATTGTACTGGGCATTCTGGGTGGATGTCAGCCTCATTGCAGCTTGAAGCAGTCAGTCCTGAATGATTTTTTTCTCCCCCATGCACAGATAAACTTACAGAAGAAGAATTCATTGAAGGGACCCTCGCCAACAAGGAAATTCTGCGACTGATCCAGTTTGAGCCTCAAAAAGTGAAGGAAAGGATAAAGGAGAAGAAACACTAATGCCAACTGCTCAGCTCCCCCCACCCCCCACACACACTTAAATCCACCCCCACACTTAAACACCTGCAAGAGCACATATATGCACACATTGCACACCCAGGACCAAGACAGGCTCCAAACTCTGGCACAGCTCCCTGCCAAACTGAAGGTCTTTAATGGTCTACAGGTTCCTGCTTCCTCTGGTCTTTATTGTCCCTCTTACCCTGCCCCCATGACACCTAGCCCACCCTCCTCCTCATGTCCCACCAGCCCATGGCCCTGTGATAATCCCAGGATTAGGTCATAGGAGTCCTAGGTAGCAGCTGTGTGTAAGCTCCTTTGTGGAGTGTCGAGTAAGCAGGTTCCAATAAATGCAAGAGTAGCTGGCCACACCACTAGCTGGCCATTCTTGATCTGAAAAAGGAAATGATTTCTGTTTGCTTGGCCTCAGAGAAAAGGATGTATTGTGATTGCAATCCTAGGCCAGCTATGGTGCTGAAGGAGACTGACATGGTCCTGCTGTCATGGATCCAGAGGAGACATGGATCTTGGAGATGCCAGAACCATTGGCATGGTGGTTACCGTGGAGAAGTGCAGAGAACTAGGGGAAGATATAACACAGAAAGGGCTGCCTCATTAGTGAAGACCAGGGACAATGTTCCTGAGGATGGAATGCTTACTTTCAGTGCCAGTGGACTGTGGTGGGGGGTAATGTGGAGGTGGTAGGGAAGCTGTGTCTCAGAGGAACTGACACACAGCCACTGAGGCAGGAAGGATCATCTCTAGGTTCCAAGATGGTGAGCTTGCCAGGTTTGCAAAGGGAAGAGAATTGGGAGCTAGTCCTGAAAGGTTGATGGACCAGACCCTACAAGTTTCCTCTGCAGCATCACCTTGTCGGGAGTGACAACACTGTGTGGTTTGAAGTAGGAGGGATTTGTGTTTGTAACAGAAGCCCCTAGCAGGATGGAAATAAGTCAGGGGCAAGACTGGGGGCAGGGAGGTGGTGATGGAGCTTTTGCAGTTACCTGGTAACCAGGGCCCAGGAACTGCAGTGGAATAGGGAAGACAGGACCCTGAAAGATACATGTATGATGTAGAATCCATCTGAATGGCCGCAGGTGCAGGAGGGGGCAGAGAAAGGACAGTAGCCAGGTTGTGACTTGGGTACTGCATGAACAGCAGTACCATCTTCTGGGATGAGAAACCCAGGGAGAGTTGCTGGTCAGGAGATAATGAGTTCAGTTCTAATTTGGTGAGTGGTAGAGTGAGCCATAGATCTCTCTGAGGCCCTTAATTTCAGAGACAATGAAAGGAGGACCAGTGACAAGTATCAGCTTGCCCAAAGTCAGCCAGCTGATAAGCAGAAGTTAGGCAAGGGCCATCCACCAGTCCACACTGCCTCCTCAGATTTCCAGAGTCAGGAACACCTAGCAACTCCATGAGTGGCTTCTCTAGACCACTGGATTCCCTGCTTTGATGTCCCATTGATTCTCCTGCCTTAAGCTCCTCTGATGAAGTCAGAAGAATACATGAATGCCCTGGCCTTTTGACAAACTTGTTTGCACCCTCCTGAGACTGGGGAGTCTCTGCTGATGTTGGGGTGATCTCCCCATCTCCCAAGATCTAGCCATAGTGATGGCCCAATGAGCCAGCCCCAGAGAGGGCTCCTCTTGGTAGAGAGAGGACACGAGAACAAACGCTTAAGTATGGAGTGTTTTCTATGGCCTAGGCTTCATGCAAGATTCTGCAGCCCTTATTCCACGGATGGAGGTGCTATCACCTCTACAGTATAGATGAGAACACTGAGCCCAAGAAGCGAGAGTAAGATTTGGTACTTAAACCAGAATCCCTGTGATGACACTGAGGTTCCCCAATAGTTTGGACCTGGATATGACAGGCCCATGAATTCTGAGATGGGGCAATGTGAGAGGTGAAAGGGGAAGGGGCACTACACAATGTCTGGTCTAGCAGTTCTGGAAGGAAGAGGGACATTATTAGAATCACCTGCCCAATACACTCCTCCAGTTAGACATAGTGTGACACCCAGTAGCCAGCAGAGGGGGGGAGAAAGGACATTGAGTCCAGCCCAGGGTGGTCAGGGGATACAGTCAAAGACCTCAACGCCTTCCTCCAGTGCATTTTCATCCCCTCAATAAGTGAATCTGGTTGGTGTGATATGAGACTGGGGGACTTTCACTTCTCTCTGAGGTTGGGGTATCATTGTCACTTAAGTTTAAAAGGACAGATAACGCATAATCATCAAGTCCTTGTTCTGTGATTCATCTAAAGGAGTCACTGGAGCCCCTACTGGCCAGAGCAGTCCCCTAATTAGCACCTCCTTTGTTAGCTACAAAGACTACTTGCCTGGGGTCCATCTATTTCTATGGCACTCTGGGAAGTAAGCTGGGAGAGGAGCCATCAGGGCGAGTTCCAACTTGACTGACGGCGAGAGAAGGAGGTAGAAGTTATGATGTGCTGTGTAATCAAGACTCTTCTGGATACAAAGGATAGGAGTCCCAGCAGGAGCTTCAATGTTGTCTCAAGGCTCATTTTAGAAATGGGGTCCTCGTCAATGGTATACAGGTTCCCCATGCAGGCAATATGTTCACCAGCGGACCCAGGCTGACTTCTTCCTGCTTCCAATTTCAGCAGAAACAACAACAAAAAACCCTCTTTCTGTTGTGAGTCCCAAAGTCCCAGGATTGCATCTGTCTGATTCCAATAAGGTGTTGTCCACTCCCAACCCAGTACATGATGCCCTGACTGGTCAAGTGGGTTGTTAAGCCTATTCCTGGGGCTGAGGATGGAGTGAAGAGAACTCAAAATTCATGGACCGGGAAAAGGAGATGTACGGTTTTCAAGAGGAAAATTGGGATGCTACAAGTATGAGGGTGGAGGATTGTCAAAAATTAGATGTCCACTTTAGAAATTGTGGAGAAGTTGCTTCATATCTCTGAAGTCCTGCTTTCTCGTTTACATGTCATCTCTAGGGCAGAAACAGATTAATATCTGACTAAGACAATAATCCAAACTGTACTGTCCCATAGTGGCACCTGTTCCAATGGGGTCCTGCTCCCTGGGCAGTGCCCCTTGGGTGTTCCTTAGCCTTCCCAGGAGGTGTACCCACAGATTCACCAAGAAGTCCCTTAGTGCTGGGCGCCATTGCTGCAACCGGGCACCACATTTCCCACTGAAGACATGGTTACAGTGTTCCTGGGGTGCCCAAGCTGTGCACTGATATGTTGGGGAGCCCTCTGCATTATTGCATTGTAAGGGCCCCATGGGCAATGACAGATACCATGAAAACAACTCTTGTTTTTGACTCCTGGCAGCAGCTCTTCTGGACTTGTCTGCAGCTTCTCTTCTCTCACCAGGCTCAGGCACTGTCCATGGAGACAGGGGGTGGCAGACACTATGCTGCTACCCCACCCCACCCCCATTTCTGAACTTGGTTGTCACACGAGGTTAGCAGACTAGCTCAGAGAGGCCTGTGTCTCAGGTTGTAAGGCTCCCATGGGAATGACCACCCCTTAAAAAACTCAGCTGGGCCAACCTCACCTGCACTATCACTTGGAGTTGTAAGAATCAGTTGAGTATATTCTCGTGGAAGAATTTCTGAGTTCTATATGGTGCTCAGGTGAAGGCTCAGTTCACCTGGACATTAGCCAGGCACTGTCAGTTTCTAGGCTGGTTCTTTCCCCTCTGCCTCATCCAGGGTAAATATTAGGCATATGCTAAAATCACTCAGATGCCTTTGACACCCAAAGCAGGGCAACCAAAGGAAAAAAAGAGTAGATAAATTGGACTTCATCAAAATTTTAAATCTTTGTACAGCAAAGGGTGCTATCAAAAGAGTAAAGATATTCCATAGGAAAGGATATTTTCAAATAATATATTTGACATGGGATTAATTTCCAGAATATATAAAGAATTCCTACAACTTGACAATGATAAGTGATAATCCAATTATTTAAACGGGCAAAGACCTGAACAGACATTTTTCTAAATAAGACATAAAAGTGACCGATAAACAATCATGAAAAAGGTGTTTCATATCATTAGTCATAAAGGAAATGCAAGTAGACGTGACAATGAACAGACATTTCTCAGCCATTAGTATGGACATTGTTTTTAAAAACGGAAAACAAAAGTTGGCGATGTGACTTGCTGGAGGGAATATAAAATGGTACGACTGCTGTGAAGAATATTCTAGCAGTTTCTCAATAGGTTAAACATAGAATCACCTGCGATTCAGCAATTCTACATTGAGTTATACCCCAGAATTTGAAAGCAGGAGCTCATTTTATCTACCTCTATTCATAGCAACATTATTCACAATAGCCAGAAGGTGCAAACAACCCAAGGAGCCATCGACAGATGAATGAATAAACAAAATGTGGTGTTCTGCACCATGAAATGATACTCAGCAGTAAGAAGAAACAAAGTGCCGATGTACTTACAGTGTGGAGGAGCCTTGAGGACATAACGCTAAGTGGAATGAGCCAATCACAACATATTATACATGATTTATCCAGAATAGGCAAACTCAGAGAGACAGCATGTAGAAAGTAGAGCATAGTCGAGGCTAGCAGGGGGAGTGGGGGTGGGAAGTTACTGTTTCGTGGGCCAGAGTTTCAGTTTGGGAAGGTGAAAATGTTCTAGAGATGGATGGTGGTGATGATCGCTCAATGATATGAATGCACTTAATGCCCCCTGAGTTGTACATTTAGAAATGGTGAAAATGGTACATTTTATGCTATGTATATTTTACCATGATAAAAAAAAATTCACTCAAGAACTATAAAATTACCTGTTATAAAGAGGTCTTGTTTCTCTTAGCATAATATCCTCAGGATTCATCCACATTTTAGCATGTATTGTTTCTTTTTATAGCTGAATACTACTTCACCCTGTGGAATACCACATTTTGTTTATCCATCCATCAGTGGACACTTGAACTATCTCCTTTTAGCTCTTGTGAATAGTCCTGCGATTGGTACAGGTGTATAAATGCCTCAGTTCCTGCTTTCAAATTTTAAGGTATTTAAAACAGAAATTCTGGGGTCAGACCTGACCATTGGTCTCTTTAAAATTTCTAAAAGAGAAACCCTGGAGAGGTGGCTCAGGCTTGCAATTCCAGCTACTTGGAAGGCAGAAATCAGGAAACTCTTGGTTCAAGACCAGCTCAGGCAAAATGTTAGACCCCCATCTCAATCAATAAGCCAAGTATGGGGGTTCATGCCTGCCATCCCAGCTACACAGAAGGCATGAATAAGGGAATGTGGGCATAGGCAAAAACATGAGACCCCCCACATTTTGTACTACAAAAACGTACAAAATTCCAAAGGGGAATTTTGTGCCAGAATTAAGAACCTAAGGCTGGATCTTCAAGTCAACAAGCCCACTAAATTATTTAGAGGATGGTCTAGAAAAGGGGAGACACTCACCTTTCCCCCTTTGACCTCTGACCTTTACTTCTGGCCCTTCCCCCTCTGCCCAGTCCTCTGGTGCCACCATCTCTCTTTCTCCTGACTTCCATTCAGAAACAGCAATGGGAGTCTCCAGACACGTGAGAGACTCTCAGCCCCAGTGAAAGACAAACATAAAAGAACAGACAACATGCAAACTAACTTAAATAAACTTGTTTTAATCACTAGCAAAGCAAGAGCAAGCGGTGTAGATGGTCCACCCATTTGTGGATGGAGGTGTGGGAGACATATTTACAAATGCTTTAGAAAACAAAGTGCTTCCCCTATTAGCGGCAGAGTCTTGGATAATGTACTCTCAGCAGTGTCCGATGCCCGTGAAAGATATTTTACTCCTGTCTCCTTAGACCAATGTGTCCTCTGCTCTGAACCAGCCCTGTGCTGGGTACATGCTGGGAAAACAAGATGATTCCAGCTTCAAGAAGCTGGTCAGCTAATGAGTCAAGGCAGGAAAATTTGCAGAAAGGGGAAAATAAAGACATATTTTAATGATTAAACTCCAGGTAATCTAGACACCAAAAAATATCTCCTTGCTTCATTACGCACTTGCCTAATATCTTTGCTTCTGCTCTCATCCTGCAAACCAGGGGCCAGAATGGTGCAAAATTTAAGAGGGCACCAAAAGTTTCCATAGTCAAGAAAAATAATATTTCAATGAAGTCCTTTAAAAATCAAAGTTTATGTTAAAAATTTCCTGGTGCACAAAATATTGACGTTTTAGATAAGGTCAGGGTCAGAGCCTGTGCTTGCATGAGCTGTCTTCACTTGCTCTGGTGTCAATAAAGCTTTATTTTCATAAATGGCCTGTGAGCTCTAGCTTATGGATTTGAGTTTTTTCAATGTTTCATTAAAGTACGATTTATTTTGATCACTGAGCTTTTCAGAGGTGACTGCCTCAGTTGTCTCACTCACATCCTTGGCCCCCGCAGCAAACAATCCTTGAAAAGAGTTGTCAGGTAAAAGACAAGATGACTGATTAATCAAATTTCAGATGAAGTATAGTCTACTTATACAGGAAGATTCATTGTTCATCTGAAATTGAAAGGTAATCAAGCATCATGTGCTTTCATTTGTTAAGTCTGGCACCCGTACTAGAGAAGTACCATTTTGCCCCCCTCCAAGATCAGACAGTATTTAGTCCCATGGCAACATACCCCCCCCAACACACGTACACTTCACACACTATAAAAGCAACATGTTTGGACTTTAGCCCAGTGTTTCCATGGGCTGTTTCTTCCCTTGACCTTCCTACAGCCTCCTGCCTGGTAGTTTCAGTCATTGAGCCTGACCTCAGGTGCCTGGCTTTCCTTAGCCTCTCAAGGTCAGGTTCTTGCACACAGTTCAGATTTCTCATGGGCAAGGAGGTGCCACAGGCCTGGCCAATGGAGAGCCCTGGGCCTCTCAGTGCTACCCTAAGCACGTCTGGATTTAGCCAGAGTACTACTGGTTTTAAGCATCCATTTGAGGAGCTGGGGAGCAGGACTGTTATCAGTAGGGATGGCGAGGGAGGGGAAGAATAATTCACAAAACTCCTGGAGCAGGAAGTCTGACCATCAAAGGATGAATAGCAAACCAAATGTGGAGTGACATTCTTAGCCCTGAGGACTGTAGACCTCAGGTTGACAGAAGTCAAGTTCAGAAGGCAGGTGGAGGGGAAAGGGAAAGACTGCTGCTGATGACATTTAGAAAGTTCCCGGGAGCTGGGGCCAACTGTCCAAGAACGGATGGCTTTGTAATACTTCAAACTTCTGCTGGCCACAAACAGAGAACTAAGATGGAAAGAAGAAGGCAAGGCTTGGCAGGAGATGAAGAGGAGAGAGGCAGGGAACAGGTCTTCCGGGTGATGGGGACATCAAACACTGTTGGGAGAGGGCAGGTGCATCGCAGCTGACTTTGACTACAGATACCTCTCCCTTCATCCTGCCATGGGCCACTCCAGCGGACTCATAACTCCCTCACATTCTGCCGAGGGTTTTCCAGGGGCAACTTGCATCCAGAATTCCCTGGGATGCCTGGTAGACAGTTCCAATTCCTGGCCCTAGACCCAGACTCAGTCCCACACTGAGTTTAGTATTCAACATTTTTTAAGCTCCCTAGGGGACTTCACGTACCTTAAACCCAACCTCACATGGAAACCATGTGCCATGAAGGAGGAAGGAAGTGATACTGGCTGGATTCTATTTAACAAGAGACCTCTCTTCATGGGGTGGGTGCTCTATTCACTTGAAATTAGGGCCAGGCCCCAGGGATCAATGGCCATTCTGGGAAATACTCCAGTAAGGGTAGCAGGCTGACAAGGTCAGACAGAAGCTGTGAGCATCATACAGCTTCACTTACAGAGAGTTGGAAGAACCTGGAAACAGACTTCACATCTATGTGGGTATGGTGGATGGGAAGACAACAGCCCTCAGTAGCACCCATCCTGCCTTAGCCTTTCAGGAGCCCCCAGGCTGCAGAGCTGGAGCAATGGGCCCCCAGCCTTAGATCTCACTTTCTTCCAGAATCTCCTCCATGGTGTTGGCTAGGGTGAAGTCCCCCTCACTGCTCTCAGAGAGGCTGCTGCCGCGGGGCCAGGCTGCATGACCCCGGTTGGGCTGGGTGCCCAGCTCCCCCAGGCTCCGTGTGCTCAAGTTTGAGCTGTCAGATGAGGACTGCAACTTCTGAAGAGTCTCAGCACCATCTCCCTCTGAGAGCTTCTTGGGACATTTCCCCAGGAACTGGAAGTTCTTCCCCAGGACCCATGCCAGGCAGCCTGAGTGGCGGGCTAGCAAGAAGCGGCCCCAGAACTTCCGCAACTCAGCCTTCACCTGCCAGGGGAGACAAAGGTGGGGAGTCATTTACTGAAGGGTCCACACAGCAAATGTTTGTTGAGTAGCTTCTCGGTGCTAGTCTTGGGATATTTATCTTTAAGTGGTAGAGCTGAACAATGAGAAGCCTATCAGGTGTAATTAAGCAGATAATATGATAAGGGTCATAACAAACAGTACAGGAGGCCATGGTTTTGGACTAAGCTTTTGCACTGGGCACCAGAACCCAGAATAAAAATCAAAATGGAGTTACCATATGAGACTTTCCTCCTCTAAACTGAAACTAAGTTACCTGACCTTCAGGGGAGAAAGTTAACAGCCAGATTTCCTAAACAGGTCAAGCCAGTTACTACTGGTACAATAATGGAGTTCCTACTGCCTTAATCCTGCCACAGAAAAATAACCTAGAGTAATCTGATCTCAATTAATTGGTTATTTTTCTATCAGTCTGTTTTCCTGTTGCTTCATAAGGGAAGTAACTTTGAACTGACCAGCTAATCTGCTTTTAGTCAGTTGCTTCTGTTTTCTTCATCTGTCTGTAAATTAACCTCCTCTGTTTAGCCTACTAGAATATGTATTTTATTTTACAGAACAAAATGTTGTTTGATTCTAGAGTTGCAAATTAAGCTAATTAAGATTTTCAAACTGAATTGTAATTTTTTTCCTTTGGCAGTAGATTAAAAACTTGAGATAGGGTGTTCAGGGTTAGCACTTGAGCTGAAACTGGCCTGATTAGCAAGGAGCCCCTGAGTGAAGACATAGAGGTGGCAGTGAGAAAAATGGACAGTTTTTTAGAACCATGTATATCTCCCTATACCAATATTAACTCAAAATGGATCAAGGATCTTAATATCAGTCCACAAATTCTAAAGTTTATACAGGAAAGAGTAGGAAATACTCTGGAGTTAGTAGGTATAGGTAAGAACTTTCTCAATGGAGCCCCAGCAGCACAGCAACTAAGAGATAGCATAGATAAATGGGACTTCATAAAACTAAAAAGCTTCTGCTCATCAAAAAACAATGGTCTCTAAACTGAAGAAAACACCACAGAGTGGGAGAAAATATTTGCCAGCTACACATCAAAGGACTGATAACCAGAATGTATAGGGAACTTAAAAAACTAAATTCTCCCAAAACTAATGAACCAATAAAGAAATGGGCAAGTGAACTAAACAGAACTTTCTCAAAAGAAGAAATTCAAATGGCCAAAAAACACATGAAAAAATGCTCACCATCTCTAGCAATAAAGGAAATGCAAATTAAAACCACACTAAGATTCCACCTCACCCCTGTTAGAATAGCCATCATCAGCAACACCACCAACAACAGGTGTTGGCGAGGATGCGGGGAAAAAGGAACCCTCTTACACTGTTGGTGGGAATGTAAACTAGTACAACCACTCTGGAAAAAAATTTGGAGGCTACTTAAAAAGCTAAACATTGATCTACCATATGATCCAGCAATACCACTCTTGGGGATATACCCAAAAGAATGTGACACAGGTTACTCCAGAGGCACCTGCACACCCATGTTTATTGTGGCGCTGTTCACAATAGCCAAGTTATGGAAACAGCCAAGATGCCCCACTACTGACGAATGGATCAAGAAAATGTGGTATCTATACACAATGGAATTTTATGCAGCCATGAAGAAGAACGAAATGTTATCATTCACTGGTAAATGGATGGAATTGGAGAACATCATTCTGAGTGAGGTTAGCCTGGCCCAAAAGACCAAAAATTGTATGTTCTCCCTCATATGCGGACATTAGATCAAGGGCAAACACAACAAGGGGATTGAATTTTGATCACAAGATAAAAGAGAGAGCACACAAGGGAGAGATGAGGATAGGTAAGACACCTAAAAAACTAGATAGCATTTGTTGCCCTCAACGCAGAGAAACTAAAGCAGATACCTTAAAAGCAACTGAGGCCAATAGGAGAAGGGGACCAGGAACTAGAGAAAAGGTTAGATCAAGAAGAATTAACTTAGAAGGTAACACACACGCACAGGAAATTAATGCGTGTCAACTCCCTGTATAGCTATCCTTATCTCAACCAGCAAAAACCCTTGTTCCTTCCTTTTATTGCTTATACTCTCTCTTCAACAAAATTAGAGATAAGGGCAAAATAGTTTCTGCTGGGTATTGAGGGGGTGGGGTGGAGAGGGAGGGGGTGGAGTGGGTGGTAAGGGAGGGGGTGGGGACAGGGGGGAGAAATGACCCAAGCATTGTATGCACATATGAATAATAAAATAAATAAACAAATGAGGGGAAAAAAAGAAAAATGGACAGTTTTTGTTGTCAAGAAGGTTATGTTCTAGAGGGAGGGGGCAGAAATAAATATTTAAGCTGGAGGAGAGGGAGGGGAGGATTCAGGGGGGCTGGAAACTGACTCCTAAAAACAAGAGAAAACATCTGTTCTGACCTCTGCCTTTTCTCAGCTGCTATAATTTGGATATGGGATGTTCCCTTAAAGGCTCATATGTTGAAGGCTTTGTCGCCAGCCTGTGGTGCTAATGGGAGGGAGGTGGAACCTTTAAGAGGTAGGTCCTAGGGGAAGGAAATTAGGTCTCTTGGGGCCTGCTCTTGGAGGGGATATTGGGACCCTAGCCTTCTCTCTCTCTTTCTCTCTCTCTCTCTGCCTCCAGCCACCATGACATAAGCTACTCATTCTACCATGTACCCCCACCAAGACGTAGTCTAGCTACAAACCCAAAGGTCAAGCAACCATGGATGAGACCTCTGAAACCGAGAGCAAAAATAAATTTTTCCTTCTTTTTAAGTTGATACCTCAGGCATTTGTTACATTAACAGAAAGCTGACTGACACACCAGGGGAACACAGAGCTGATTGGGGCCATGCAATAATATTAATCAAAAGTCTGGTTCTTAGGTGTTGAGCTTTCACTGTGTGCTTAGCATGCTCAGGACATCACTGTAAGGTAGTGACAGTTGTCATTCCCATTTTACAGATGAGAAACCTGAAGCTAAATAAGGCACAGTGATCTAACTCACAGAGTTCTTAAGTGGTAAGCCAAGGTTGGGATGAAGAGTTTTGGAATCCAAGGTTCACATGTGTTCCTTCCATCACACTTTAATCCTAGTTATATATCCAGCAAAGGCCAGAGATGGGCTCTGAGTATGCTCACTCCCATCCTGGAACCTTTTCCCAATTTGTCCAAACTACCTCCTATTCTCTCTTCCACTGGCTGCTCACAATTCAAATCTGCCCAATGCATGCTGGGTCACAGTTGTGCCACATAAGCAGACACCTCCAGGGACAGTAGGATTCCGGCCCTGGCCTCACCAGAACCTGGAATGGAAAACATACCTCTCCATTGGCGAAGCCATACTGCAAGGCCACGAGGAATCCCTGGAATGAAAGGAAGATGTGGCCATGAACTTGACTCAGTAGATGTGTCTGAGTGTCACCAGCAAGGTTTAAGGATCCGCCAGAAGAGGCGTACACCAGCATTGCTTACATGAACTACAGTTAACCAAACTGGCTATGGGTTTCCATGGTATCTCTTTGTAACTTGACATCCACTGCCCATGTCAAACCTAGGTGTTTTCTTAGGTGTGCATGGGTCAGTGATGATTAAGTCTCCAATATTGTATGTCATCCATCCAATGATACAAATACTGGACAAGGCCCACTGTCTTATTTCTACTTGTCAATAATGACCATTGGCTAATTTATTTTGCCCAACTTACATTTTTTTCCTTTTAGAAACTTACCCTTCCCTAGCTCTTGGGCTTCTGGCATGGATATCAATCACGTAGCTCCCATGTTTTAGGATGGTCATCGCCACAATAATCAGTCTATGGGTATGGGACTATGACCCCAAAAAAGGCCAATCAGAGTTTTTTCCATGGGGAAGGAGAGAATACTGTACTCTCTTCCCTGTGCTTGCCTAGCTAGAGATGCTTCCGGCATCTTCCCAGTCACATGGAGAGAGTCCATCTGAGCATGAAGCTAACACAGAGAAAAGCAGAGGCTGGAGATGGCGGGAAACAGATTTCTTATGGAATGTTTGTTTCATGAGAGGACTTGTTTGAGGACCTGCATCCAGCTATGCCTGGTCCTGAAATTTTCATTTATGTGACATAATACTCTCTTCTCTTATCAGAATATTTCTTTTGAAAAGACAGATTACTTACCATCATGGTTTTCCATCACACTTAGTATAATAGACTCTCCTAACCATGGAAAGGTCCTAGGTGATCTAGGCTATGTCTCTTGTTGCTGACGTCATCTTATGCCACATTTCCCCGTGGCCACTTTATTCCAACCACATGGGCCTCTGGATTCCTCTAGTATGTGAAGGTCATGTGTTAAGTATCTACTGGTGAATAGCTTAGTGAACCAAAACAATTATTTATCATTTCATGCACATTCTATGGCCAAAGATGTAGCTGGGGCATAGTGGGATGTTCTGGCTCAGGGTCACTGTCAAGAGGCAGTGAAGGTATGATTGCAACTGTACTTGATGAAGGCTTGGCTTATTTTCCAGGTGGTTCCATTGGTGGGCAAGCTGGTAATGAATGTTGTGACTGTAGTATTATAGATTGCAAGTACACTCAGGATCATTATTTTAAAATCAATCCTCATATGTATCAGTTAGAAATTTTCTCAGTTGCAAGGTAAAACATAATCAGTCATAGAAACAAAGGTAGAATTTCCCCCTCACATAGTAATTATTAATTAATTAGTATCCAAAAACTTTGCAGAATATGTTCCATGCCACTGGGCTTCAGAATCTGAAAACTGGTGCTTAGATTTCCTATTCCCACAGTTAGCTGGATGACAGTGGGTAAAATTGGATGTGGTTGTCTTTGTCCATAGAGCTGTGTGAGTGTCCTCCTGACATGGCAGCTGGCTTCTCCCAGAGGGTGATTCAAGAGAGCAAGATAGAAGCTGTAACCCATTTTATGACCTAGCCTCAGAAGTCACACACCACTGTGCCCACAAGATCTAATGGTCACATAGGCCAGTCCCATTCAATATTGCAGGGGACTAAACTAAGGCATGGATACATAGAGGGCCACCTTGAAGGCCAACTACCACAGCTCACTTCTTCCTCAAGTCCCTTCACACTTTCTGTTTTCTGGAACATTCTTCCCTCAAATCTTTGCCTAACTGGCTTCTCAAAATTCAGATCTTAGCTCAAATATCACCAAAAAAGAGGTCCTTCCAGAGCATTCAGTTTTTGGTACCTACTTCAGGCACTATCACAGTGGTCTACTTCTTATCTTATTGCTATTTATTTGTCTGTTGAACCCCACCCACAAACAAGAATAGATTCTCTATCTAAACTTTTCACTACTATTTCTCCACCACCTGAAAATTCCTGGCACATAACAGAAGTGCAATAAGTATTTGTTGAGTGAGCAAGTGAATGGATGAATGAGTATGTGAATAAATGAGTAAATGAGCTGGTTCTCTGTCACTTACAATTAAGGGTCTTGCCTTGTGCAATGTGAAACAATTTAAGAATCTTCCTTAGTGCAATGTCAAATCACTTCTAAAGTATCACAAGATGTTTTTTTCAAGTCTCTTCTTAGTTATTCAGAATTGTGGACACAAGGATTCCAGTGAAGACAATAAGTCATTGTATAATGGCATTTTCATTTACAAAGCATTTGTTTGGGGGAATTTTCAATAAAGAATCAGCTTTCAGATATTTGCAGCTCCAGCTAAAAATTACATATATCAAAAAGACCATATCTAGCCAGGTGTGGTAGAGTACACCTGTAATTCTAGCACTCAAGAGGCTGAGTCAGGAGGATCCCAAGTTTGAGGCTGGTCTGGGCTACATGGTGAACCCTATCTCAAAAGAAAAACAAAAATGCCACTTATTGACCCCAGACAACTCAGCCCAAAGAATCATTAAACATAATAAAATATCTACTGCTTTACGCCACAAAGTTTTAGGATGGTTTGTTACACAGCAATAGGTTACCAATACACCCTCCCATGACCAAGGAATCCAACAGAGGAGGTTTCTTTCTTAGAAATCTGCCCCTCTGTAGCTGTGCTTCACTTTCGTCTGACAATCCCTTAGGATACTCTCCCTTACCCTTTACCTCCTGTAACAGCTTTCCATGCACATCCTTCTATCCTCTACCTTCACATCTTGTGGTATGTGATATTACTGGTGCTCTCTCACTCTCTTTTCCTTTCTCTCTTTTCCCCAGTTCCCTAGAGTAGTTACACTGTTACAAACATGTTCTACAAATGAGTTTGTGTAACAATCATGTTTGGTTTTGTGTATATGTTTATCTTTGGATCTATCTTCCATGTTTTGTGTTTCTTTTCTTTAAACTCATTTATTCATATATGCATACATTGTTTGGGCTATTTCTCCCCCCTGCCCCCCCCTCCCCCTCCCCTCCTCTTTCGTGTTTCTGATCCTGGCTAACTTCGCTTACCATGATGTCCTCCAGTTGTATCCATTTGCCTTCAAACCCCTTGTTATTATTCCATTGTGTACATATACCATAATTTCATGATCCATTCATCAGTTGTAGGGCATCTACAGTGGGCATACACTGAGACACTCCTCTGAATGTCAATGCAAATATTATGAAAACCAGGACTGTAAAATAGGCACAGTGTGTGCGGGGGTGGGGGGCTCTATTGAGGGGGGAGGGTGAACTAAGGAGATTAAGGTGACGGTATATGGTAAATGGACTTCATATACCTATATGAAACAAAACTAGAAAACCTCTTGCAATTGCTTTAAGTGGGGTGGGGAGGGGGCTGAGGGGGAAGAGACGATGGGGACCATGTAACTATCGTACAACATAAGTCTAATTGGAATTGCCCCTATGAACCCCCCCATCATGGAATATATTCTAATAAAATTTTATTTAAAACAAAAAGAAACCTGCCCCTCTTAGCTCCACACAAATGTTTAGTCTTCAACTTGCCTTGTATGTGTGGATCAGGTGATCAATGACTCACATTGACTAATATGCCCTCTGGCAGGGGGAGAGGGACGGGCATCAATATTACTGACATAACAGCTGTAGGATTTTGCTTTTGTTTTGTTCTTTTCTAATTTGGGATTCCCTTTCAAAGAAGATTAAGGCCAAGCAACATACAAAACTCAAATTACTAACTTCTAGCTTTTGAAATTCCCCCAGAAGATTGAAATGAATTAAGCATGTTTTCATGATCAAATGGGTTATCTGTCTTAGTTCAAAGCCACAAAGAATTCAGCTCCAATAGGAGGGGGAAAAAATCCATTGTCCATCTGCCTGGATGCTACCCGAGCCTCTGCCTTCTCGGTTTTGACACATTTAGCAGGCAGGCACATTTCCTCTGTTCTCTGTGCCTGACCCTGCCTGATTGTAGATGCTTCAAGACCCTGGCCTAGGGAACTCAGTGTCACCTGGTTATGATTCTTACAAGGGACCTGAGAGCCACTATGTGTGTGGTAGTCACAGGCAGGAGCTTAACTCTGCATAAAAACCTCATCTTTGCCATTGTGTCATGTGCAAGTTCTCTGAGCCTCAATTCTTTCATCTTTCAAATGGGTATGATGATTTCTCCTGCACAGGGATATTGTGAACCAATTTTTAGTGTATCATTTTGAGTCCTTTGATGGTATTTTTGCTATACTTCTTAGATATTTTCTTAGTATATATCCCAGGGACCATGACACAATTGTGACAACTTGTCACAATTGATTTCATATTAATACTAACTCCATTTTTTATAAAACATAAGACATTTTCTTCAGTGTATCTTCATTTATCCATTCCTTTCTCATTCTATTATTGTGCTATATGTTAGATCTTTATGTGTTATAAGCCAAATAGCACAATTAATCATCACTATTTCACACAATCCTGTCTTTAAAATCAGTTAAGAGAAGAAAGGGTAAAAATCAGTATCTCATTTTTATCTATGTAGCCACATGTTACAGGGTTTTTGTTCCTATGTGGATTTGAGTTACTGTATATGACATTTTCTTCCAGCCTGAAGGATTTCCTTTGAAACTTCTTGTAGGAGTGTTTGTCAGCAAACTCCTACATTCTGAGGTCTTTGTTGACCTAAGAATGGATTTTACCATTATCTTGGAACACAGTTTTGCTATGTAATTCTTGATTGACACTTCTTTTCGTCAGTATTTTCATTATGCCTTTCTGCGTGTTAGTCTGATGAGTAGTCAGGTAATAATTGTTTTGCTGGTTCCATTATGTAATGAGTCATTCTTTTGTTACTTGTAAGATTTTCCCTCTGTGTTTGGCTTTCAACCATTTGTCATTATCTTGTTTTGTTTTTGAGACAGGGTCTCACCATGTAGCCCACTCTGGCCTCTAACTTGTGACCTTTCTGCCTTGGTCTCTTGAGTGATGGGATTACAGCATGTGCCACCACATCCCACTGTCCTCCAACAGTCTGTAATGTTTTGAGGTGTGAATCTGTTTTATGCTATTTGAAGTCCATTGAGTTTCTTGGATTTTTATATTAAAGTTTTTCATTAAATTGGGGAATTTTTCAACCATAATTTCTTCAGTTTTTTTTCCTACCCCTTTCTATCTCTCCTTTCCTTCTGGAACTCCCACAAGTCTATGCTAGTGAGACTGATGGTGTTCCACAGTTCTGCAAAACTCTGTTATCTTTCTTCATTCTGTTCTCTTTCTATTTATCAGACCAGATAATCTCAATTGACCTGTCTCCAAGTACATTAATTATTTTTTCTGCTATCTTAAATCTGACAGTTCATTTTTCTAGTGAAATTTTCATTTCTGTTATTATAGTTCTTAACTCCAGAATTTATATTTGGTTCTTCTTTTATAATTTCTTTCCTTGAACTGAAATTCTCTAATTGATAAATCATTGTCATCATACTCTACTTTAATTCTTTAAACATGGTTTCCTTTCATTCTTTGAACATACTTACATTGGCCTCTTTGAAGTTACTGTCTACTAATTCCAACATTTGGGTCCCTCAGAGAATCTCCCTTGATACCTTTTTACCCTGACTATGGGTCACTTATCTGTAAGTCTGGTCTCCTGCCTTGCTTACAATGCTTACTGGTCAATCAATGATTGATCAGAAATCGTGCTTAGCCACCTTGAGCAGTAAGTTTTCTGAATCCTTTGCCAATGGATCTGTGTGTCCCCTGGGGATTCCATTTAAAGTTGAGACAGTTTACAAGTCTTCCCTGGTTTTTACTTTCTACCACGTCTCTATGTTCCCTCTACATGTATGCAGGAACTCATATGCAAGAAGAGAGGTGTGGGTATCCAGAGATCCTCTGGATCTCTCTTGAGGATGTATGCAATTGTGTATGTGTAGAACCCTTTGACCAACCAGAGAGAAATGTGGAAGCTTACTGAAATCCACTATGGCAGCCTCATTGTTCAGGTCTCCCTGTCAAATTTCTGCATGGTCACCAGTCTGTTTCTTCCTCTAAATGGGATTGTCCTATTTGTGATTGTAATTGACCTTCCCCATTCCTTTGCCACCAAGATCACGACTGTATCTGGCAGTACGTAGGCAGGTAAGATTTTCCTGCTCTCTGATCCAAATCAAGTAAGCCTCTTTCTATAGGGAAGCTGCTAGTTTTCACAAAAATGTCTCAGCAATGGAGCAGGAGTTTGAGAACAAAAAAAGTCACAGACAAAATGACACAGATTTCCAATATTCTTCCTAAATTCAGTAATTTTTCTTAATAAATCCTTGTCAATCTTTTCTAAGTCTCAATCAATCTTTGGTTGATTTCTAGTATCCTAAAATGGTTAGCATTGACAGTTGTCCATTGTCACTCTTTGGGGAAAGGATTTACCGAGCTCCTTTCTTTTTCATTCTAGAATTCCTGCTTCTACATGAAAATTTAAAGTTGGTTAATTCTAAGATTGCTACTGTGGCAATCTGTTGTATTAGTGGCCTTTGCTAATGAGTCACGCCTCTCCACGTTCATGCCCCTGTGTAGTTCCTCCCTTCCCCTTCATTCTAGGCTGGGTCTTTGACTTGCTTTAAAGAGCAGAGTGCAACAGAAGTGTCAAGATGCCAGCTCCAGGCCTAAGCACTTAAAAAACCTGGAAGTTCCTATTTTTTATGCTCTTGGGAATCCCTGAACTGCCACATAAGATGACAGCCACCCTGTAGAGAGAACATGTGGAAAATGAGAGGCCCTGAGACCATATGGAAGTAAGGAACATAGTTGACAGTGAAAAATAAGGACTTAGTTCCATCTTAGGCCCATGAATGTGTGGGAAGAAACCATGACAGATGTTCCAGCCCCAGTATGCCTCACAGGAGCAAGCTTAGCCATCTCTACCAAGTCTGACCTGGATGCCTGACTCCCAGAATCACCAGAAATAGCAAAATTGATGATCATCTTAAGCTACTAAGTCATAGATAGTTTAAGCAATAGATAACCAAAATATTAAGATAACTTAACCACAGCTGGCATCTTGTTTCTATTTCAGTCCACACATATCTATCAGATTCAACAATCTCCTGATCTGGACTCACAACACAATCCAAGTTGTGTTGTGTCGCATGTACACATCACTTGAAACAGAGACAAGGTTCACTTTGCACAAGGCTCTGTAGAGAATCCAGCAAAAATAGGCCTTTAATAAAAGGATTCATGTTAGCACTCACAGTTAATATGATCAGGAGTCACACCACCTATTACAGTCCAGGAATGAGACCACTTTTCCCTTCTGAGTCACACTGTCAGGATCAAGGCAATGCTTCCCCATCTGCATGCCCTTCTAATGTCAAGGATCCTCCCCAATAAACCATACTGATTCTAGAAATCTATTTTCACTCATGGGCCCTCTCAATTCTGAGCCTGTTCGGACCACGTGCATTTTGTTTTCCCAAAGCCAAAGCACCATGGTCTGACTTGTACTTACATGAAAGGAGCTCAGTGCCAGCTGAATGAAGAGACGTACACGTCTCGAATGTCCTTGAACTTGGTCATCAGTGATAAAAGAAAAGATGATCTCATGAACACCCAATAAAGGAATGAGGAGCAGCGTTGATTTTGCCAATCTGAAAAGATAATTAAATAATAAACAAGCAGGCAACATTTCCTGCTTTTCTGTGCTCGTCTTTATCATAGTTCTTGTCAAATGATAGTTGATTTTCCAACTGGTTTTCTTGAGTTCACATTTAATGCTTAGGGGTATTGTGGTATCTCTCTCTCTCTCTCTGGTACCGGGGTTTGAACTTGGCCTCGCACTGCTAGACAGGCACTCTACCACTTGAGCCACTCTGCCGGCCCCATTATGGTCATAGTCACTGTTGCATCCCTATACATAGCAGGTGCTCAGGAAACACACATGTACGCATGCATGCATGAATGAATGAATGTTCCCATATGGGTTATCATAGGCCTGCAGATATTATTGTGTTGCCTGGTTTATAGATTTCCATGTAATACTTGTCACCCTGAGACTCTCCACCCCTTCCAGATTTGACAAATTTCCTATTGTCTGGCCAGCAGGTGACTTTATCTCTTTCTCTACTCAGCAACTCCAGAATCAATACTTTCAATGTCAGCCAGAGAAGGGAGAGAAAATGAGTGGCCCAGAGTCACACAGACACTAAGTGGCAAATCCAGCTAAGCAGCAGAGCCCCTGGCTTCACACCAGGCCCTGCATACTGGGCTTTGCCCTCAGCCCTCAGGCTGTCCCTTGACCCTGTGACAGTGAGGGCTGCAGGAAATGGACAGCCAATCGTCCTCATAAAAGTGCTGTGTGGAGATTGGCTGTTGTACACAGTCTACACAAAAAGACAGACATTCCTTTGTACCACCCACATGAAAGTGCACAGCTGGGGCCCAAACACTCCAGACTGGTAGATTCTGATTGTGGTTGACTATTAAAATGCTTTAGACAGATACCTTAAAAGCAACTGAGGCCAAAAGGAGAAGGGGACCAGGAACTAGAGAAAAGCTTAGATCAAAAAGAATTAATCTAGAAGGTAACACACATGCACAGGAAATTAACATGAGTCAACTCCCTGTATAGCTATCTTTATCTCAACTAGCAAAAACTCTTGTTCCTTCCTATTATGGCTTATACTCTCTCTTCAACAAAATTAGAGATAAGGGCAAAATAGTTTCTGCCAGGTATCAAGGGGGTGGGGGGGGAGAGGGAGGGGGCAGAGTGGGTGGTAAGGGAGGGGGTGGGGGCAGGGGGGAGAAATGACCCAAGCATTGTATGCACATATGAATAATAAAACAATAAAAATTTTTTAAAATAAAAGAAAATGCTTTAGAAAGCTTTTAATCTATATCCAATGGGCCCTCCTCATTCATGGGTTGCTTCAGTGGAATTATGGGTCATGAAAAATTTGTAATTGTGTCCATATTAAACATGTACAGATTTTTCTCTTGTCACTAATCTCTAAATAATACAGTATTGCAACTATTTACATAGCATTTACACTATGTTAGGTATTAAACATAGTCTAGGGACAATTTAAAGTATATAGAAGAGGTATGTAGACTATAGGTAAATACTATGCCATCTGGAGGGTACTGGAACCAGTCCCCCCCAGCACACCAAGGAACAACTGTATACAGTTTTCTGGGTCCCAGTGTAGACTCTGTCAATCCAAAACTCTGGAATTTGGGTCCTGAGGATGCGGATTTTTAAAGAACTACTGATACTTACCCAAGTTTGGAAATAACATCTCTTTACTATGGAGTTGTTTCTTGATTTGAAACTAACTAGATTAGCAAAGGTGACTCATATTCAGGGTACAAACAAAACTACAGTCTAATATACATTGGAGAAAATGAGCTTGATTGTAATGTATTTTCAGTCTAAGTTGCTTCTTAAGGGCCAGACTAAGAAAGATGTAAAACCCCAGAGTGTGGTTAGCAGTCCACAGGTAATTTCTCAGGAAGGATGAACGCTACCTGACAGAATCTTGTGTCTGTAAGACCATTCAAATGCTATGTCCTTAATAAAACAAAACCTCCTCACCTTTGCACCTGAAAGGATATAAAAGCAGGAAGAGGAGAGCAGAAGGCACCGTGCAGGAGAGCCACCACCTGGCCATGTGGATTGTGTGCCCCAGAGCCATGCTTGTCAGGAGACCCCATGAGTTGGGGAGATGAGTTGCAGGCCATTGTTGTGTGGTTCTCCTGAACCTAGCTCAGACCAACTCTCATTCTCACATCCACTCACGTGGGAGTCACTTAGCTAGGCAACAGTGATGAGCTCCCCAGGAGACAATAGTTCAAGAGTTTCCCCTCCCTGCCCCCACCCTGCTACTTCTTTTTTGACACTGGGTATGGAACCGAGGGCCTCGTGTACATACTCTATCAGTGAGCTACCAACACTACACCCCACCCCGTGTCCATAAGGTTTTTTGTTTGTTTGGTTTTAATTTTCAAGAGTATTTTTAAAACTCAAAGTTTGCAAAATGGCAATCAAGGGTTGGATTTCACCTACAGACAGCTTTTGCTTAAGTCATATAGTGATTTTTGCTGTTAGAGCTATCTTTAAATAGTGAGGATATTTCAAGCAAAGCTATCCAGATTTTCAGCTTCTTTTGACAACTGGGAAGATCTGGTGACATAGGGCCCAAAGACCTGCTCTGCAATTGCTAGTCTCAGCCAGGTGATGACTGACACTTTAGAGAGAACCTGTGTTCGCCAGACTATACCTGGACTGTGCTATTTATCCTCTCTGTACTTGCTCGGCCCCTTGCAGGTATTTGAATCCATGACCCTTGTCAAGCATATCTGGGATTTGATGACACACATTCACATGCTTACCTACAGACTTGTATCTTCTGATCAACTTATTCTGGCTCCATGTTATGGCATTTAGGGCTTTTAAAATAAACTTTTTTTACTTTGGAAAAATTTTAGATTTACTGAAAGTAAAGAGAGCACAGAGACTTCCCAATGTACCCTTGCCTCAGTTTCCCCTAATGTTACATATTACATGGCCATGGCACATTTGTCAAAACCAGGAAGCCAAGACTGGAATCTTACTAGTAATTAAATTCCAAGCTATATTTGGATTTCACAGTCCAGGATCCACACTGAGATTGGTATGGAGTGGGTTTCAAAGAATAGGCATCTTTTTATGAAGTTCAGTCTGTCTCACCCTTCTGGAGGGATGAAGGAATGGATTCACTACTGCTCATGTTATTCTGTTATCCTTAGACAAAAGTGCTATTTGTGTCCCAGCTCAGATGAAAATCTATAAATAGCAACCGAGTTTACTCTCATGGGCTGTGTGTATGCTTATTTTCCATCCATAACCATTTGTTTATTTAAATGGTACAGTGTGTTACAGTAATTTAAACTATTCAACAAATATTTATTGAACATCTGCTCTGAGTACGTGAGTGAGTACAGTGGCAGGACAGCACTGTGTCTGGGTTCAAATATCATTGTCACCAATTACTAGTGATGTGACCTTGGGCAGATTATTTAACCATCAGTTAAATCAACTATTTAATCCCTTAGTTTCCCGATCTGTAAAAAGAAAATTATGTTAATAATAGCATCTACCAGACAGGGTCATCATATGGATTAAACAAATAGTGGGGGCAAACCCTCACAGTAAGTATCTGACACATGACAAATGATCGATACACTTTCGTCTTCATTCTTTTTAAAGAAACCATTCCTGCCCTTAAATTGCTGCTTAACTAAGCTTTCTATCATGGAGAAAAATGAGATAAACAACTTAAAAGGAAATATTTGTTTTGGCTCACAGTTTCAGAGATTTCTGTCCACATTTGCTTATCCACATTTCTTTGGGCCTGTGGGAAGGAAGGCAACACACCATGGTAAAGAGCTTGTGGTGGAGCAAAGCTGCTAACCTCACAGTGGCCAGGAAGCAGAGAGAAAAAGAGGGAAAGACCAGTGTCCCACCCAATATCCCCTTTAAGGCCCTACCTTCTAACTGTTCTACCATCTCCCAATACTGCCGTAGGCTGGGAACCAAGCCTTCAACACCTGAGTTTTGGGGGCACTTAAAATCCAACCATAATAGATTCTATAGCTCCGATAATTTTCACTTCCATTTATAACATCATTAGTTTGATGTTGCTGATAGAGTTCATACTACTCCAAAATATGGCACCTTGGCAGACTGTGTGTTCTAAGCTGAAGGAATTTTTTAAATGGCAGAAGCAGGAAGGTCACTCTCTGACCTTGCTCCACCTTTCTCTCCTAAAGCAGCTCATATAACCTAGGAAGGATTTCCTGACTTTCCCCTGGAGCAGATCTTAAGACCCTCACTCAAGAGGTACCTTCCCTCTATGCACAGGAAAGGAGCATCCTTATCTCCAAAGACACAGGGACAGAGAAAAGAATCGGAGCACACAGGCTTTGTGACATTTCCCAGTTTATTACTATTAGATCACACCCTTTCTGTCCAATGACATTTCTCTAGGACCGTCCTCTCTTCACCAAACCTAACGTAAAAATATATGAGTCTGATCACTTTGTTTCCTTTTGAAGGCTCTTGTGAAACTTCTAAATAAATTTGTATGCTTTTTCTCTTGTTAATCTACCTCATCACTTTGATTGTCAGTCCAAGCCAAGTCCCAAAGAGAGTTAAAGCAAAACCTTTCTTCTCTTGCATTTTTCCCCTAGAAAGTCCTTTCAGAAATGACCCTGGGGTTTAGCCTGTTAAGAAATGATTTTCCTTTATAAATTTATTACAAGTGTAGTCTTCATGTATCACATGGAAAGTTCATTAAGTTAAAAAGAAAATAATTAACTCTATGGGAAGACAGTCATCTCCCTGCTGGGAACCACAAAGAACAGAGGACTCAGAAAGAGCTGAGTGTTTGCTGGTCTCTGACTTCCAAGGGCATTGCTTGCCCGTTCATGGTCTTGACATTCCTCCTCATGCTTGCCTTAGCTCTCCCTCTCCAAGACAAGTAGACCGGCTATTAACCATTTCTTTTGCTTGCTGGTGGAAGGCCAGGGACAAAGGCTAAGAATACAGAAGGTTCTCTAACTCTTCACAATTTGCCTCTTTGGCAGGGCCTATGTGTGTTTAATTTAAGCTTTCCTAAAATATACTCCTGGAGGGGAGGCAGATCTTGAGCACTGTGTTCTGAAAGTTCTCAAAATCTCAGAGAGCTGGGAGCAGCCTGTACCACTGCATTTTTGATGAAATGCACTGGGCTCCCTGCTCTCTCCCCTTTACACAGCAAAGGGCTTTCAGGGAAGACAAACATGGAAGGAGACACGGCAGGGGAGCAACCTTCATTTAAAATGAATAATGGTCTAATTTATGCACATTAGCTTCTTATAAATTCAGTTGACATCCAACAGCCACTCAGGAACATAGAGAGGTACAAGATAGCAAACTTACTAGGGTGAGCCCTCTCACCATGGGAAGCCTTTGGGTAGACCTGCACTCAGGTTCCTCTTTTCAAGTTTTCTCCTTGCACAAGGATGGGGAGAGGAAAAGCAAGTTTTGAGACACATTGTATATGTCAGGCAAGGTTAGTCCTTCACCCCCGAAAGCCTTCATCCTGGATCATTACTCAGCCTTTCTGAATCTCCCCAGTGCCTTAATTTACCCTTCCTCAGATCAGTGGCTCCCAAGTGAGTATGTACACTCCAGTAGTGTGCAAGTCAATCTATTTGGTATTGGAATAAAATATAATAATAGGAGATAATAGAAGTTTTATGTGAATTCTTTTTTTTTTTTGGTGGATCTGGGGTTTAAACTCAGGGCTTCACCCTTGCAATGTAGGTGCTTGACCACTGGAGCCACACCTCCAAGTCCATTTTGCTCTGGCTATTTTTTGGAGGGGGGTCGGCCTCACAAACTATCTTCAAACCACTGTGATCCTCTGGATCTCAGCCTCCCAAGTAGCTAGAACTACAGGTATGAGCCATGGGTGCTCAGCTTGTATATTCATCTTTATGTATCATTTGTATTTTCTGTTTCTTATGTATCTTTTGGAGTGTGTATTAATGCTGAGGGACATGCTCAAAATTTCTTTATGGATCAAGATGTATGATCAGAAAAGCTTAGTAACCACCATCCAAGAGGGGACCCTGACAGAGAGGATAAAAAGGCTGCAAAGAGATAGGTTTACCATGGCCCAAGCAGAAAATTCCATGTTCCTTCACTGGAGAATCTGTTCAGTGGTCCTCCTCTTGGCTGTATACCAGAATCTCCTGGAGGAGTCGGTAAGAAGCCCAGATGGTGGAGTTCCATCCCACACTTCCTGAGTAGAATACCCAGTGGTGGACTCACAAGGCTGGGCTCTCAGGGGCTGCTTCTGAGCAGCCAGTATGGAAAACTATGGTAAGAGTCACTGAAACTCTGAGCATAGGGAAGGTCCCAGTGGTACATGGTGGACTTTGAGGCACAAAGCCGAAAGGGTTATGCTCTGAATCTCTTAGGACTCCATCCAGTTTTTGAAGCATACTGATTGTCCCAGCACTCGATTGTCAAGGGACTGTCCTCCCTGAATGGACTCAAACAGCTCTGCTTGCCTTTGAAGTTCCACCCTCAGAGAGTGGTGAGAGAGGCCGAGACTTGGGAAAAGGGCCAAAGAGGCTGCTTGGCCACTTGGAGGCCCCACCAGAGGCGCCAGGAGAGACAGCAAGGCTCCCTCCAGCCTGGACCAGGCCAGTTCCCCAAGCTAATGGTTTCTGCAAAATGTTTGGGCCAAAGCTCCAACTAGCAACTATATAGTATATATTTTCCCATTCCTGAACCAGGCATGTTTATACTTCTAGACCTCCTAAAGGGAGAGTTTCAAGAAGATAGGACTTGGGGGTCTGGACACTGAGCAAATGCTGCTCACCACATCTGATTAGACTGGCCCACCATGCCTATATCTTCCTGAATCAGTCTAATAAGCAGGAGATGGTCTTTCATGGCATTCCTGTCATACACACCAGAAAACAGGCCAAGGGTGAGGGGGGCAAACCACCTTACCGTCAGTTTCAGTGAGGGAGTCTGGGATTGTGGCCAGTCTCCTCCCTCCTGCCTTTGCTCCATGTCAATGTCCCAGTCCTTAGTGAAGTAGCACGCACACTCCTCAAAGCATCTTATGGGGTCCACATTGCATTCACTTTTCACTCCAAGCACAGTCCCAAGCATACTGGTGGCATTCACTAAATGTTTGCCAGATAAATGGAAAAACTACCTTCCCGGCACTTGGGTCAGCCTTAAAAAGTGGGAAACAAGGCTGGAACTGCCTTCACCCACACACCCAAAATTCCACTGTAGTCTCACTCTCTCCCTACTACCCATGTTGAGATGCACCTGCAATGTTGAAAGTAGAGAATAACCAGGAATACAGGAAGGAACCCTCTGTCTTCCAGTCATTCACTCATCATTCAGTTATTTTTACAACAATGCAGGCCTCAAATGCCTGTCATCTGACTTACTGTGAACAGGGACTGCTGTCACCATAGAAAAACTGAAGGTGAGACACAGAAAAAGCAAATCACAAGAAAGGGTGACTATAAAGAATATATTTCCTTGGACTCTAGGAGTTCGTGGCTTATTTCTGAAGGTATGAAAAATACCCACATATGCTCTTCTGAATGATGAATGTTTATTTTATTCTATTGCTTCAAATTCCTGAAGAAGGCGACACAAACTTCCCTTCATAGGCGGCTTTCCTCTCCTTTCCCCACAAACCATTCATTCTTAGTGACATTTTAAGGGGCTTCCGCTGGGAGAATGAATGTGTCCTTGACTACTCACCACTTATGTCATTGTCATGGAGTCAGAAGAGCCTAGTCATTGGTAAAAGTCTCCCATCCTCCACAATATCTCTTTCAGAAGGGCTCTCCCTGATCTCACCTCAGGAGACAAGTATACTAATGTAACCTGTCCCACTTCCCTGGATATTCAGAAGCACTCCCAGAAGGAGTCAAAATAACCTTGAACTGCTAAGCTCTGTCTTCAGGCCACTCACCTGTATTTATAGTCTCTGAAGCACATTTGATGGGCTTTAAGTTTAGAAATGAGAAGCTTGAGAATTTTCAAGAAGATGAAGAAATTGACCTTGAAAACAAAAAGCAGATGTGAGTAAGTAAGGATTGGATGATATATACCTGTGAATATCGAGGTCACCCTGGACTTGGTCATCAGCTCCTCATGCATGTAAACTAAGAGTGATTTGTCAGTTAGCTGGTCACAGTAAGCTGAGGGCTTACTGCAGTCCTCACCATCCCAAAGTCCCTCTGAACTGAAAGCCTGGAAGGGAGCTTACAGCATCATTTAGTTCATTCTTCTGTCTCAGGGAGGCCTACCACTAATGCCATATGAGAAAGACAGATGGACACAATTACACACACACACACATATACAGTGTTGTTACTCTTGTTGACTAGCTTTTTCTGTGCAAATGTTATTTTTCTTCTCTTTTTAATATTTTTTGTTAGCATATGTTAGTTGTTCAGGGGGGTTTCATTGTGACATTTCCATATACACTTAAAATGTACCTTAACTAAATTCACTCCCTCCATCATTCTCCTTTATCCCTCTCCCCCTACTTAAAATGATCTCAATGGGTTTCATTATTCTATTTTCATACAAGCATATTAAGTACATAAACCATATTCATCCTCTTTATTCACCCTCCATGCTCCCACTAGAACCCACTGCCTAAACGGGACCTGTTTTACATTCTTGTCCTCATTTTTTTAAGCATATATCTAGCCATTGAACTAACACACATTTTTTTATTTGATCATCATGACCCCCGTAAAATAGCTACAACTATTTTTAACCCCATAATACAATAAGGAAACATAGACACAGAGGAGAGGAGTATAATTTCCAAGGTTACATAGCTAGTCAGTGACTGAGCTGCTGATTAAGCCTACACTTAACCATCCTTAACAGAACACCATACCACAGGATTCACTGGGCAATATATGTTCTCCGCTCCCTAGAATACTTCCCACAACTGTTATGGACTTGGCAGATCCAGCCCTTTGTTGTCAGCTTTGGTAAAAATGATAAAAATGTGTCTGCAAATTCCTTGACACTCCTTTCAAAAGGCAGCGCCTAATCTCCTCTTTCCCTCACTCCCATCCCAATATGAGCTAGATTTTCATCTAATGAAAAGAATATGGTGGAAATGATATACATGACTTTTGAGCCAGGCCCTCAAAAGGAAGGCTCCCACCTGGCATGCTCTTTCTTTATGAGATTGCTCCATTTGGAGGAAGCTGGTCGCCATGTTGTGAGGACACTCAAGCAGCCTATGGAGTTGTGGAGGGCTTCACCTGGGAAAATCGAGTCCTTCAGCTCACAGACAGCACAATTGGCCAACCATGTGTATGAGCCACCTCCAAGCTTCCAGACGGCCACAGCCCTGGCTGACACCTTGACTCACAGATATCATGAGCCTCCTGGAGGTGTAGAAGAGCAAGTGCTTGTAGGAGGGCTGAGTGTGAGCTTGAAGAATGAGAACAGGGGTTGTGAGGAGACTGGAGAAGGAGGAAGTGACACGAGCAAGTGACACAAGGCCTTTCACGGTTATACTAAGGAGTCTGGGAGGCTATGGAGAGCCAGTGATGAATTTTAAGCAGGCAAGCAACCTAATCAGATATTCACTTCGCATTTGAGAAAGATCATTTTAGCAGCAGTGTGGAGAATGGCCTGAATAAGGGCAAACTGGAAGAGGAGACCAGTTGGGAGGCAGTTTCTGAGCTCCTGGGGAGGATGGTGAACTCAAGCAGCTGCTCTGGAACTGTAGTGATGGAGAACAGTGCGTGATTTGAAATTATTGAGAAGTTTGAGTCAATTGACCTGTAATTGGTTGGATGTGAAGTCAAAGATGACCTTATGTATCAGTAGATCTCAGATGTGTGGTAGTGCCATTCACCAAAAGAGGGACCACCTGGAGGAGGAAGAATGTTGGTAATGGGAAAGGGAGGATGAATCAGTAGCTTTGAACACAAAAAATGTCCCAAGGCAGTTAGATATTTATGCCTGGGCCTCAGCAGAGTATGAAGTCACTAGAGTGGTGAGGTTATTGAGGGAGATGGTGGAGTGGGAGAGAGAGATGGTTAAGAGGATTATCTTGTTGCAAAGGAAATGATGAAGGAAGTGGCCATAGCAAAGGAGATTAAGAAAGAAGAGGAATCAGAAGTGGTGGCACATGCCTATAATCCCAGCAACCAAGAGGCTGAGGCTGGAGGATTGAGAGTTTGAGGCAAGCTGGGCAACACAGTGAGCCCCTATCTCAAAAAATCAAAAATGACTGGAGGAATGGCTCAAGAGGTAGAGCATCTGCCTAGCAAGTGCAAGGCCCTGAATTCAATCCCCAAAACTACCTGCCCCCCACAAAAAAAAAAAACACCAAAAAATAAAATAAAATATAGAGTAGCTAGGTTACTTGGAATGAATGACATAAAAGCAATTTTCTGGGACCCTCTGAAGGGGAGAATTCTAAGAAAGTTTATGTAGAATTTCAACAAATTAAGACTACATTTGGCAGTAAGGAACTCACTAAGAGAAGTTGTGGTGCAGAAAGGGGCACAAGTCAGATAGCAATGCTTCATTTTTGAGTGAAATGTGAAGAGAGACAGTGTAGACAGTTCAGGAGGCTTGTCTGTGAAGAGAAACAGAGATAGCAGTGGACAACGGATACAGAATAGAGAAAATGTCACTCTACTTTCATTTGAGGGCTGGAAGGGATTTTTGGTGGCAGTCACTTTTTAAGATTGAAAAGCTTCAATAATACTTCCATGCGAGGAACAAATTGCTAGCAGAAAGGGCAATCAGGTGACAACTGATGGAATAAAGTCTCTGCAAACATCCATCCAACAGAGTACTAATGTCCCTGTCTAGAAATAAAATCCTTTAACTACATATTGAAACACAAGAACAGAATCCAGCATGTACCTGTTATTACATGCTTCACTGGCCTCAGGAGGAATCAACGCTCAGTGCTAAAAAGCTAGAGTTTCGGGCAAGTGGCTGTTTATCTAATATGTAAGCCAAAAGAAATGATGATGGTTCCCAGCCAAAGGATATCTAGTAACAGAAAACTTAAATACAAACCAAGCGTAACCAAGTAATTTATCCCTTTTAATGGGATATCTGTTTTTCATCATAAAGAGAAAATGCTGTGTGCTAGGCTTAATGATTTGTGGAACACAGGCATTTTTCTTACAAAGTAAGCTTAACAGGGGAACGTCACATATTTCAGCAAATGAATTTCAATCGGGATGGTCTCCTAGGAAATGAAGGGTTGTGTTGAGGAGGTGCGGATTTACTGTTCTTTGTATCTTTCAGAGACCAGACAAGAGAAAATGGTCATCAACCCATGGGCCACGTGGAGGAAGCAGGAAGCACTTTCTCAGGAAGAAGCAAGAAGTGCTTCCTCACTGCTATGGGGTGAAACACCAGCCTGGGTTACCAAGAAGTTTCTGCTCCTCTCAGTTTCCAATGAGACACAAATCAGCAATCCCGTTTGGATGATGTTCTTCATGGGTGCAGCCATAGGAAAGGGCCTGAATGAGGAAATTTTTCAAGAACCAAGCCAACTCCTTAGATTCTATGATCAGATGGGAAGCACTCAGAACCTCAAATGCATAAGGCTCCCTTTCAGGTGCCAGGGAGTACGGTTGCCTTCTCACGTGCTACATTCTTGGTGACACTGGTTTGGCACCCTAGTATCTATGCACAGATCTGAGTCTACAGGTTGACAGAGGTAATCACTAGCATGATAGGAGCCCAGGAAGAGACCTTGTGTAACCCTGAACATTTTCACCTCCCCTCTTCTAGCTCCTGGGGCCTATGTGGACAAAAGAGCCAAAACATATCTTCCCCAAGAGCCCCGGTGAAATGCACATATTCCATAGAAGATAAGGAATTACTGTGAAAAGGGAGGAAACCTTTCTCTGTTGCATTTAAATGCATTCATTTTTTTTTTACCAGAATGAAGATTTCAGTAAATATCTATGATCTGATTTACTTTCACATGAAAAGTAGAAGATGGGATGCCACAAAGATCAGTAGAAGATGGGACATGGCCCACAGGGGGATCCCTACTGTAACACTCCAGAAGAGGAGAGATAGAGTGAGGAGATATCTGGGGAGTTCTGAACCAGCAGGATGCCCCTGAGTTTCCAAGTGGCCAATGAAGACAAATTTTACCAGATTCTCAGCTTTGCCAAACTCCTAAACTGTTAGAGGAGATTCAAAGAGAATAAATGATGGCTTTGACTCTGTGACTTCAAAGGTCAACAGAAGGCTCATTCAAAAATAAAAAAAAGTCTAATTCATCACAAAAGCCATTCAACTGGAAGTTCAATCTGGTCAATCTGTTAACTCCAGGTAGCAGGATATGGATCTAATGACCTTTCATAGTACAGACATTTGACAAGGCTGTCCTTGAAGGACTGCACTAATTAAGATGTTACCAATTTTCTATGGAGCTAAAGGGAACTAAGACCTAGGAATATACCATGTTCAATGGGCTCAACTCTTAATGTACACTCAGGGGTGACAGTTAATTTAAGTAGTGAAGTCTTACGCAAAGTCCTAAATAAAGACAGAGGTGGGACTACTCCAATTTCTGTGTCTGGTGAAAGACTCAAAGATCAACTGGATTCTTCAGATTGTCATACTATAGGTATTTCTGAAACATAGGAAGCATTGTACCAACAGAGCTGATATACCTGGACATCTAGCATGGGGTAGATTCCTCAATCCCATGGCTGATCAGAAAATGCAGACCCAATATGGAGGGAAGCGGGAGAGATCTGACTATGATACTGGCGATGCTTACCAGGGAGCCCACATCTAGGATGGGAGATTCTCCTTGATCCCCTTGCATGTTCTGTTCACCATACATAGCTGACTTTTCCCCCAGAAGCTCTGTACTATGCTACAGAAATATGGGCCCAGGCCCAAATTTGGCCAAGATAAAATTAAGTACCCTGGAATCTGAAATACCAAGTGCTACCAGCTTAATCTTGATTAGAATGGTAGTTTTTTGGTTTTTCAGTTTAATAGAATATATATGGAGCCAAGAATTTTTTTAACACAACATAAAGCCTTAATTTTTTTTTTTAATATATCATGGAGCGCTCTGCTCCGTGCAGTCATTCAGGGACCCAGGCTCCTTCGATGTTGTGGTTCAAAGAATTTGGAGTTGGGGTTATGTCTATTCAAATTGATGGAAGATAGATACTGGTTCTGACATAGTCTGACAAGTCTCAGAATGATAAGTATCAAATTCTGAACTCCTTAGAACAGAAACTATGAAGGAACCTGGCACCAAGCTGAGCACAGAAAAGGTGCTCAGTGAGTGCTAAGTGGAAGACAGTGCATCAGTGAGGAAGCTCTACATGGTAGGAGTTTTGATTACATCAATAAGGCTGGAGGCTAGGCTTTGTATTTTTTTAACCTCCCCAGGTTGTTCCACGGTACAGCTGCTGTCCAGTTCAGGATTTCTCTACCTCCGCACTCTTGGCATTTGGGCAGGATAATTACTTGTTTTGGAGGCTGTTCTGTGCATTCTAAAGTGTGGAGCTGCATCACTGACTTCCACCCACTAGATGCTAGTATCACCACCTCCCCAATTTTGATAATTACATATCTTCAGACATGGACAAATATCTCCAATAGGCAGAATCATTCCCCAGTAGAGAAACACTAGTTTAGTCCAACTCTCATTTTACAGATGAAAGCCCAGAGAGGTCATTTGGCTAAAGTGCACATTAGAAGTCAGTCATGGAGCCCAGGTTTCAGACTCTTACATTGGCACCCTCTACCTCACTACATAGCCTTTCTTTTCCCTTTCATGAATGGTAGGACCTGTAGATTCTACTCACCTGGGAGTTCTGAAACCAGCTCACAGAATCCTAGAGCTTCTAGGCTGGAAAGGTATCAGGTGTAATTCCTTATTGTTCAAGACATAGTCTCTTCTTGGAAACTGATTAGAGATGGACAATCCAAAGTCTTTCTGCAGTCCATGTCAGGTTCTACCAGTTCATGGTTAAATATTCTTCCCATTGACCAAAAGGAACTTTCCCTAGTTTCTATTCAAGAATCCCCAGGCCAATCCTGACATCAAAGAATCGCAAATGTCTGGGGATAGGACTCAAGCCAAAATAAGATTAAAAAACTCATGGGTGATTCCAAAAGCAACTAAATTTGAGATGTATTGAGAGTTATTGATGTAGCTTCTACAAGATTTCAGAGTGACAGATAGTCAATAGCCCTATCTGCTTTATTTTGCCTCATTATTAGTAAGAATCTTCCAGTGCCCAGAGTGTGGGTCAAAATAGCCTTTGAGTAAGTCTATTGAGGGCTGCTGCCAGGACGAATAGAACAAGTGGCTTACACTGGCAGAAAACAGATTTTAAACATAACTTGAAGCCAGTGTGGCTGGAGTAGAGGCCTGTACAGGATCCAGGAAGGACACTAAGGAGGGTGTGTGCCTGCATGTCCAGTCTTGACCAAGGACTTGAAAGATGAGCAATGGGTCATCAAAGGATAAGATGGTGGAGAGGAGTTGGGACCCAGGGAGAGCCTGAAATAAGAAACTAATGTCTGAAAGAGTCTGCAGCCCTGAGTTACTCCAGGCTCAGGCCTTGAGGACAACAGTTTTGGAGCAGTAGCACAGTGCTATGGTTACAGGTGCCAGCTGTCACCCAGTCAGACCCCATAGGCTGAGATCTATTTCTATGGCTTTAGGAAAGTAACTTCTCAATGTTCTTGCCAAAAGATAAAAATAATAATATTCACAGATTGGTTAGGAAGATTGAGTGAGTTCATATGCACAGCACTTAGAACTGATGCTGGTTTGCAGGAGGTGTTCAATAAATGTTACCAGGTAGTGGTGGAGGTACCTGGGCAGGGAGTAGGTGGGCACTATGACCAGAGATGAGAGATTTTGTGGAGAGTGAGAGCTGGGGGAGTGGAGGCAGGGCTCCCAGTACCATGTGTGGGATGTGCGTGGTTGATGTCATTTGGATCATTTACTCTCAGCTGTGTGTGTGGTGACTGGAGAGAAGACACCAGCAGCAGGCACACCAGGCTGCCTCATAGTCTAGATGTGACACAGCCCTCGAAAGCAGGAGCCTCTCCACACCCTTGGTTTTCCTGCCATTTCTATGCTAATTTTGCATTCCAGGTAACACCCAGAATTGAGCAGACAGCTGCCTTGTGTTATTGACAAATATTGACAGTCTTCTATGAAATCTAGCTTTTTTCTTTCGTGACATCACCTTATTTATATGAAATGGCAAAAACGGGCTTTCCAGCAGCCCCTTGGAAGAAAGAATCAGCCGAGCATAGAAAGCAGTATTTGGCACCCAGAAATGATGGCACTAAGTCTGGGCGGGAAGACCATCCATCTGCCTCCCTCGTGGATCCTCCCAATTCCTCCCACTGTTGGTTTCCCTCCTGCCTCTAAGCTTTTCTGACAGATTTCATTCTCACACACTATCATCCAACAGAGCTAAGGCTCTAGACCAGTCATCTCTTCCCATCCCAAATGTTCTGGGCCACAATGAATCAAGGTCTTTCCTCCTCAAGGTCTCAGAGTAGCATTTTTCTCCTGATTCTACCACCCATGACTGTTTATGCTAATATTGATTGCACGGCTACAAATGGTCAGTTTTGCTGTTGCTGGGCTCTTCTGTAACTGAAAGCCCCCATATTCCTAGAGCCTGGTCCACATCCAAGTCCTTTAACACAGGATCACAGAGCTCATTAGAGGCCCCTGTATGATCTGAAGATTCAGAGAGAGAGGGCTGCTTACAGTGTAACTATGATTTAGGTCTTGAACTAGAACAAGAAGTTTCTAACTGCTCATTCAGCAGAAACTGCTTACGCTCCAGCTTCTCCTTCTCATGGACCAGAGAATTTGGTGAGGGGGGGGAATGTCCCCCACAGCTGCTGAGCTCAGGGTCAGGATGGTGCTTACTGTTACACAAAGCAGCATGGGTCCCCGGATAATCCACCAGATTTCCTTATTCTCATTTTTTGCCCAGCACCTAAGGACAAAGAGCAGGCAGGAGAAAACTTAAAAGGGAGACAAGGATGAATGTCAAAGTCTCATGCCCTGTGGAAGAAGAATGTTTGCCTTCAAGCCTCGCCTTCTACACTTGTTCTCCCAAGAGATAAGACAGGGAGACAAGAAGGATAAAATCTTTTGCACTGGTACTGTTGATGTTCCTTACCATGAAATTGGTCTTCAGTGTTACCAGCTCAGTGCATGAATCCTTCCACATTTTTTCTCCATGTACATACAGCATAACCTTAATTATAGTTTTTATTACTTCACTAAACAGTTTACTTTTAATTTTACTAACATATGTGCATATATATATATACATATATATGTGTACACATATACATAGTTATGGTTATTTGGAGAAAAATTAGATTACATTATTGTACATTATATAATATACATTATTCAGCAGCAGGTTTAAAAAGTCAAAAGATATAATGAACTAAGTGCCAAGCATGGTGGTACATATCTGTAATACCAGTTACTCAGAACAGGCAGATCACCAGTTCAAGGCCAGCCTAGGCAATATTAGTGAGACACAATCTCAGAAATAAAATACAAACTAAAGGGCTGGGAGCATGACTAAAGAGAGGGAGAGCATGTGCCTAGAATGTGCAAAGCCCTGGGTTCAATCCTCAGTACCAGAAAGAAAAAAAGAACTAATTTGTTTTTTAATAATGTCTCATAAAATTCTACAATATAGGTGTGCCACAATTTGCTCAATGGTTCTCATATTGATGGTATTCGGGTTTTTCGCTTGGTTTGCTTTTGTTCCTTCATTGTAAACAGTGCTGTGGTAACTATTTCCAGGACAATGCAAATGTCCTAGCAATACACAGCAGCACAGCTAATCTGTACAGCATCTTCATGATGATAATCTGCATGTTCACTAAATTAATAAACTACTACCATAATTTTGATACTTATCTATATCCCTAGTTATATTCTAGATGGACTATGTGGGAGGGTGGATGTTCTCTTTGGAAAAATGGTGTCATTCCTTGTATCTGGTCACAAATGGGAAAAGAAGAGTAAAAACAATTGAATTACTTACCCTTCATTCTCGAGGTGTGCGCGGGCGATCCCCCAGGGCACCACAAAGAGCACGGGGAAAGCTATGGGGAGAACATGGAAGCATAGTTAGTAGAAGCTGGTGGACCAAGCCTGCCTGCCTCCCACCCCAGCCTGAGGGGGTCCAGCACAGCCGGTGAAAGCTTATAAAAATCCAAATGTAGAACCATGGACTGTGAGTGCAGGAGAAAGGTATGGTGAAACAGGCCCATCCATTGCTTAACGGTCAGGGTAAGAGAAGAGTCACAAGCTGTTTGCAGTAAATCCGTGGGCGTTAGCCAAAAGTTACTCAATTGCAGTCTCAGGTTATTTCCTTGGAATCCTGCAGCATTCCATTCTCCAAGGGTTTGTGGAGTTAAGGGTTCCAGATACCGGTATTCGTCATAGTTTTAAAATAAAACAACCTCATCTTGAAGACTGAAACACTGAATGTTTATGTCCTCCCAAATTCCTGTGTTGATGACCTACTCCCAATGTGATTGCATTTGGAGATGAGGGCTTTGAAGGTAACCAGGTTCAGATCAGGACATGGGTGGGATCCTCACGATGGGATATAGTACCTCTATAAAAATGATGAGAAGGGCTATGTGTGGTAGCTCACAACTGCAATCCCAGCTTCTCAGGATGAGGAGATTGGGAGGATTGTGGTTGGAGGCCAGCCCAGGCAAAGGGTTAGAGAGACCCTACTTCAACCAATAAGGTAGGCATGGTGGTCCATACCTATAATCTCAACTCATCAAAAGCCATAAGTACAGGACTGCTGTGCAAGGTCAGCTCTGGGCAAAAACATAAGAGTCTATCAAAAGCTAGCAACAATGTGAGACCCAGTTTGAAAAACAACCAAAGACAAAAGGGCTGGAGGCATAACTCAAGTGGTAGAGCATTTGCCTAGCAAACACAAAACCCTCCACACCCCCATGTGAGGATACAGCCAAGATGGCAGCTGTCTGCAAGCCCTTGCCAGAAAGATAGCTCTTATCAGTATCCAATCATGCAGGACTTCTCAGCCTCCAGAAGCAATCTTCAACATCTGATGCTTAAGCCACACAGGTATTTTGCTATGGCATTGTGACCAGACTAATCCAGTTGGAAACAGGGTAAGAGGAATGTTACCTGACTCCACCAAAGACCTCTCCATGTGTGAGTGTGTGCACTGGGAGACACCCACATATGTGTACGTTCTCCCCTCCTCTCCTGTTCTCTCCTCTTCTCTGCTATTCTCTCCATTCCTCTCCTCTCCTCCTCTCTTCCTCTCTTTTCTTCTTCTCTCCTCTCTCTCTGTGTCTCTTTTCTTCAGAATCTCTTATTATTGAGGAATTATCTGTCCCACAAGTCCCCCTCCAGTTAGACTTCTTACTTGAACTGAACTGAAGGCTCTGTTGGGATCCCATGTTCTGATAGCTCCCCAGGAGAGGAGGCAGAGGGTCATGTCACTCACCCCAACCCACCACCAGGTATCTGGGCCACAGCCGCCTTTCAGGAAGCACCGTGGGCTCCAGCAGCGCGTGGAGGTAAAGGCCTTCAACCAGGAGCCACAAGTGGTTGGCACCCACGAAGTAATGCAGGAGGACTTGGACTAAGCGGCAGGAGGGGGACATCTGTAGAAGGCAGAGCACCTGAGGGTGAGTCCTGGCTTTTCCAGCCCCCCGCTTGAGAGTGAGCAGAGCAGAGTCTCCCCAGGCACAGCCCTTCCCCTCTCCCCCAGGCCCTTACTGACCACCTCAGAGAGGTTAGCAATCATATAAAATGTGAATATGGCTTCACATAGCTTTTGAAGACCAGCTCTTCCTTATCATTCTGGACATTTCCAGAGAAACAAAAGCAAAAAGAATGGTCATCAACAGCCCTAATAGAGACACTGAAGTGTCTGTTCTCTAGCCTCAACTAAATATCTTCACGTGATTGGGAATTATGAAATTGACTTCTAAATAACCCATGGCTCAAAGAAGAAATTATAACAGAAATTAGAAATTTTTCCTGAACTGAACATAAGGAACATACTGTACACTAAGACTTATCTGCAGTTACTATCAAGCCTGAAATGAAACTTATAGTCTTAAATACATTTGTTAAAAAAGAAAAAGGCTGAAAATCAATTACCTTAAAATCATGTCCAAAAAGTTAGAAAAAAGAATAGCAAATTAAACCCAAAGAAAGTAACTGGAAGGAATTAATAAAAATAAAAGCAGAAATTAATGAAAATGGAAACATGTAATTAAAAGTCTCGATAAAACTGAGAATCTTCTAGCAAGGATGATCAAGAGGTGAAAGAGAGAGTGAAGACAAACATAACATAAGAAACGAAGATAAGCATACAATTACTAGCCCAATAGACTTTTAAAAGATCTGAGGAGAATATCACAAAAAATATGCCAATGAACTTGAAAAGTTGATGAAATATGAAGACAAAATCTTAGGAAAAACTCATTACTACCACTGACACCCCCCCAACAAAATATAACACCTGAATATAATATTCATGATGAATCCATAGCTTAAATCCTCCCAATATAGAAAACTCTGGGCCCAAATGGCTTCACTGGTATAATCTATCACACATTTAAAGAAGAAATAATATAAATCTTAAATAAATTCTTCTAGAGAACAAAAAAAGACGAGACACATTCCCATTTGTTTTAAGAGGGCAACATAAACTTGATAGATAAACCTGGCAAAAGCATGATAAGAAAAGAAAATGACAGGCAAATCTCTCCCACGAATGTCAATGAAGTAATGCTAACCAGAGCACAGTATATGCAAATGGAATCCAGCAATATAGGAGAGAAAATGATCCATCAAAACTTCGTTCAGTCAATCCCAGGAATGCAAGGTTAGTTTAATAGGTTACTGCATTATTAGTAGGAAAAAGGAAAAGCTACTTTTATAGATGTGGATCTCAATGTGGGAAAATCCTTGCTGCCTTAAAAAATTGTAATTGTGAAAAAGATTGGTCTACTCAAATTCTTTTGCTTATAGATAGAAAAATTCCTTCCCAAGGACACCCAACAGTGGTGGTGAGTATGTTAACCTTCATATTTCTTACCTGGACCCCTCTGGGGGGACATTGTGTTTCAGGTCACACACTGCTCTCTAACAGGAAAGTTTTGGGTGTCCCTTCAGCTCCCTGTTCCCCTCCCCAGCCCCATCTACCGTCTCTCTGATTCCCAGTACTAACCCCTCAAGTAGGAGGGCCAATTTAGGTGGACGGAGGGGATTACCTCAGACTGGTAGGACATCCACCCCTTCTCACTGTCAGGCCTCTTGGAGTAAGAGTTGTGGAACACGATGTCTTTCACCAACACTGCGAGGGCTCTTAGGATGAACGAAGCAAACAAGTTCATGTGGATGTAGTTGCGTGTGCAGTGCAGCTTTCTGTACAAAGAGAAACAAACATGAGTGCTTTCCCTCAAGAAAGAATGGCTGGGACCCACAGGTCCATGCCTGACCTGCCTGTGGATGTTACTACACAGTTATATCACAGGGTCTCCAGAACTGGACTGCCAGCTTATGTACACTGACTTCTCTGGGCCTCATTTTTCTCATTTTTAAAATGGGGATAATAATTGCAGTCACCTACCTGACATGTCCCACAAGCCAGACCAGTTTCCAAGCCATGAACATGAGTGTGGACTTGTGGGCACCCTCGCTCCTTGCTAATTCTAGAGAAGGGTCCTCTTATTACCCTCATTTTATAAATGGCAGAACTCAAGCAGAAGGGTTAAGTCACCTGTCTAAAGTTGCAGGGAAGCAACTGGTAGAGCTAAGAATCAGACCCAGAAACTCTGAGGCCAGGGCTGGGAGCCAGGGGTACACCCGTAATCCCAGCTACTCAAGAGGCAGAGATCAGGTGGATCATGGATTCAAGGTCACCCTGGGCAAAAACTTCGATAGACACCATCTCAACCAACAAGCTTGGCCTGATGATGCTTGCCTGTTATCCCAGCTATGTGGGAGGCATAGAGGAACCATAGCCTGAAAACAGCCCTGGACAATAATGTGAAACCCTATCTGAAAAATAACTGAAGCAAAAGAGGACTGAGGGCGTGGCTCAAGTAGTAGAGCTCCTGTCTAGCAAGTGGAGGTCCTGACTTCAAACCCCAGTACCACCCCCCAAAAAAAGAAACTGAGGCCAAAGTATGGCTCCTGAGGCTTTGCTGCCTCTGAGAATAAAAGTATTTATCTCAGTTAAATTCTGGAATTTAATTTAATTTGGGCTGGAAGTGTGGCTCAATCAGTAGAGCACTTGCCTCATAAGTGTAGGGCCCTGAGTTCAAACCCCAGCACCACCAAAAATTGTATAAAGTGCATGTAATGAGCACCCAAAAAAATGTCACTTTCATTACCCCTCCCAGGAGCCTCCTGCTGGCTCTTTGTCATAAAAGTTGATGTGACACTGTGAGTCTTCCCTCTGTAGCCAAAACAAAAACAAAAACAAAAAAAAACATACTTTCTATGCAGCCTCTACCCCATCTTACTTGCTTTCAAGCTATTATGTTTTTAATTTCCAAAAAGGACTTGGGGTAGATTCTTGTGTTTTATTTACACTCATCCTTCTCTCCAATCAGCCTGAGGACTATGTAAGGGGAGGGACTGGGACTTTACTCTTCCTAGAGCCTGAGGCAAAACTCCTGGTGGTGAAGGTCTATGATCCCAGCTTGGGATCCCAGTTTGATGGACCCCAGTTTGGTTGATATTATTTATTCCAGGGCCTGGAAGCTCTTTTCTCCTAGCCTGGTTCTGGGACTTTGGGAAGAAGGTGTATGGAAGGAAATCACAGGAAGAGGGCCTGGGAGATGGAATTCTTCCATAGCTCAAGAATTGCTCTCCCAGTGGGTAGATGGTTATGACTCTGCTCCCTGGATCCATAAGGTCCTGAAATTGTGAACTAAAATGAGAAGACCTGGGGCTAGTAGAGCCCAGGTGGAGGCCCATATCCTGGTCTCCTGCCTCTGTGTTGAATACTCACTCTGCTGGATTTAGGTTCTCAAACGAGCCCAGACTGACTCAACCTCGGAAGGCAGGGTCCATAAATACCTCACTTGGGAGATTTCTAAAAATGTGGTTTAGTAAAATGCACGCGTTTTGGATTGTGAAAGACAGTGCAAGGAAATGACGATGCTTAGACCTTGGGTTGCTTGGCTGTGGTCCTTGCTCCATTGCCCGCCAGCTGTGAGATCCTGGGCAGCTTCCTTCATCTCTCCATATTCCAGTTAACTCACATCTCAAATGGGGGCTATACAGACACTAATCTCCTAGGATTACAACTAATGTTCATTCGGATTAGGAAGAGACTGGAATGATGTAATGCATGTAGAGTGCTGGCGGAAGCCCTTCAATAATTTACAGTTTACTGAGCCCCAGAGCCCTGGATTAAAATCTCAGCTCTACCACTCACCTGCAAATTGCTTAATCTCTTCTATAAAAATAGAGCTGTGGTGAGCATGGGCTCTGGTGGTAATGGGTATGACCAGGGATTTGGACCAGGGATAGGCATACTAGTGGTATCTAATCCAAAACAGGCCAAGTCAGTGTCAGGAGTCCTGGATTCAAGTGCTAGCTGTGTATCCACCTGGCTTTATCAGTACTTGGATATTCCTTTCTTCCCATTGTCTGTAAAATGGGATGGATACACCAGACTCTCTCAAGTCAGTACCAGCTCTGATGGTCCATGACATCATCCAGCTCAGTCTTGTACAGCCTTCTGGAGGTAGCCACTGAACAAATTACACGATACATGCCCGATCACAGGTCTGCAGAAGTTCTACTCACCGAAGAAACAGGAAGAGGGTGAGAGCCAGGAAGAGGGAGATAAGAGAGAGGGAGTATCCCACGGTGTACATCAGCTGCAAGGTGGACAGCAAGGCATAGTGATCCACCTGAACACAGAGGAAGAGCAGCTGTGACCAAGACATAGTCCAGGACCCCAGCTCCACGAACAGAACCACCAAGAGCCTAGGCATAGACTGAAGCATCCCCTTGTCCTCCAATCTGCTTTTAATCTTTCCTTCCCTTTCCTTGTTGATACTCAAGTAGGACAACTTAGACTGGCCTCTGAGATGAATCTGAACCCCAACAAGAACCCACAGAGAGTCTCATCCTCTGATTGGACCCACAGCCCAGCATGGACACACCAATCAATCATAAAGGAAGTGTGTCCAGAACAAAAGGATAGCTTGGGAGAGAGGACAGGCTCTTTGCCCATGGAGCGATGTCCTGGGAGTCTGTGGGTCCTTCTCCCTGAAGGATGGAGCCAGATTTCTGTCTGGCTGACTCTCTCCTCAAGTTACTTCCTAAGGTGGCCTCTTAGAAGAAGGCCCAACGGAAGAGTGCGATGTCTTCTCTGAGTCCCAGGACAGTCTGATGGCTAACTGTTAATTCTGTTACAAAGTGTGGTTTTCCAGTGCAGCCCCACTTTCTCACTCAGCCTATCAAGATCACGTTTCTTAACGGTTTTTGTACAAGAACCCACACAAATATACTCCTTCCTCACTTATGTTTTGAACTTATTTATATAACTTTACTGACTTTATTGAAGCATAATTGAGCTGCAATAAACCACATGTATTTAAAGGATAAAACATTGAAATTGGGCAAATGAATAAATCTTCGCTTTTATCACCACAATCAAAACAGTGAACATTTCCGTCACCTGTCAAAAGTTTTCTCATGACCCTTTGTAATACATCTCCCCCCCCACATCACCTCATAACTTGGTAAACAGATTAGTTTGCATTTTCTCAAATTTTATGTGTTTTGGAATATTATGTGCTTTTTGGTCAGGCTTGTCTCACTCAGAATACTTATTTTTGAGATTCATCCATGTCATAGCAAATACCAACAAGTCCAGTCATTGATCCACATGAAGATATCACATTCAAACCCATAAGTTAAACAACAATAAGCTAACATGCAAGATTGACTATGGTCCTGCAGCATTTATCCCCAGGGTAAGGGTAACAAATATCTTCTGACTGAATAAAATAAAAACTCGGACACTCTAATTTTATATAATTTTGGACACTGATTTTATATGTAAATAGTGATATATATCTAGAATACCATGAAAAGTTACATTGGAATTAACTTTAACGACTCCGATTATATTTTCCTTCACATTTTATTGATTGTCCATAGATAATAGCTTCCAACATTTTGATTTTGGTAGCTTAGTCATCCAAAATTTTTTGTCAAGTAATTTAATGGCCTACAAATAACAATTAAATCCTTTATGTATTAATCATCAAAAAATATATATATATCAACAGTCCATTTTTATTGCCAAGTAGCATTCCACTGTGGCTCTACTGCCTTTACTCACTTGTCTATTGATGGACATTTGGGTTGTTTTCATTTTGGAACTTTCACAAATAAAGTTGCTATGAACACTCCTTGTGAGTCTTTGTGTGGACATAGGTTTCCACAGAAATAAATACCTAGAAATAGAATGGTGGTGGAGTGGAGGGTATGGTTTAATGTCTTAAGAAAGTGCCAAACTGTTTCCTAAAAAATTGTTCCAGTCTATATCCCCACCAGCCATGAACGAGAGCTCCTCTGCCTTCTACCAACACATCATACAACCAATCTTAAATTTTAGCCAATCTAATGGGTAGCTTAGTAGTATTTCCCCAATGAGTAACAATATTGAGATTCTCTTTGGCCTCTGAGTATCTTGCTTGGTCAAGGAGCTATTCAAAACATTTGGCCATCTTTTAAATCAAGCTGTTCATTTTCTTACTTTATATAGTCTAGATACCAAATCTTTTCACAAATGTGTGTTTTGCACACATGTTCACTCATTCTGTTGATTCCTCTTTATTTTCTCAGCAGCATCTCTGGAACAGCAGCTTTTGATTTTCCAATTTGTCAACTCATTCTTTCCCAATTTATGGTTTTGCACTCTACTTTTGAAATCCAAGGGCATTAAGATTTCTGGTTATTTGTTCCAGAAGCTTGATAAATTTTTGTTCTGACATTCGAGTCTGTGATCTATTCCCAGTTAATTTTTATATGTGGTGGAAGGCAAGGTTTGAAGTTATATGTTTGTCTTTGTTTTCTTGCATTCAGTGTTCTGGTACCAATTATTAGGAAACATATTATTTCCCCATTGTGTTGCCTTGTCACCTTTGTCCCAAATAAATTGACTTCATACATGTGCATTTATTTTGGAACTCTCTAGTTTGTTTCATTATAATCTATATTTATCCTTAGGACAAAACTGCACTGTCATGATTACAGTATCTTTATATATCAAGTCTTAAAATCAGTTAGTGTTAGTCTTCCAACTTTGCTCTTTTTCAAAGTTATTTGGCTATTATCCTTTGTTGATCTCTACAAAAATTCTGCTGGGATTTTGATTGGAATTTCCTTGAAACTATGAATAAATTGAGAGATACTGGCATCTTAATTATATTAAAAGGCTTTGTTATATCCCTCAATTTATTTAGGTTTTAAAAATTTTTTGTTTAGCAATGTTTTGTAGTTTTCAACCTTATAGATTCTGCCCATCTTTTGTCAAATATATCCCTATGTGTCTCATATTTTAATGTTGTCATAAATAGTACTTTCTTAATTTCAATTTTCAGTTGTTCATTGCTAATATGTGAAAATACAATTGGTTTTGAATTTGATCTATAACCTGCAATCTTGCTTATTATCAAAGCACTTGTAGTCGATTTCACAAATTGGGGCATTGGTTATACTATTCATTAATGTTTCATTCACATTTATCTTGTCTTTTCAAATAGACTAAAAACATCCTGAATGTACAGAAGTATTTTGTTTCTACACAGAGTGGTGTGGTTTCTAAAAATTGATAATTCAGGTGTCATATCAAGACTTTATTGAGTCATTTGGACATCATTTGTTTTATTGGCAATAATGAAATTAATGATATAATAAAATTACCAAATTGTTTCTGAAGTATTACTCCTAAAACACAAATGTATGTTTTATGCAAACAGATCAGGGTAAATATTTGAGTTTTTTTGTTATTGTTTGTCAATGTTTTAGCTAAGGTTTTCAAGAAACAGGTCCTGAGACAAGAACTGGAGTGCAAATAGTTTGTGTGGAAAGTGAAAACGTCATCATTTGGGAAAGGGAGTGGTAGGGCAGGACACATAAAGGGTGTGTTATTAAGCCAGTTGTGGGGGAAGCTCTATAAACGTCAGATTACCCACTGAAGATCCAGTAAGGTGGGGTATTTAAACACCAACTCCTGCCAGTCATTGGCTGAGGGATACCCCTGGCTGATATTAATTCCTTGGCACTCTGGTCTGCATTTTAGCAAATGGGCTTCAGGAAAGAGGGAGCCAGCAAAGAAATGCATGTACTAGTGGTTAGAAGTCAGACATTGTTGAAGCAGAAAGGCTGGGGGCATGGTTCAAGTAGTTGAGCACCTTCTAGCAAGCATAAGGCTCTGAGTTCAAACCCTAGTACTACAAAAAAAAAAAGAGAGAGAGAGAGAGAGAGAGAGAGAGAAGTTGGGTATTGTGTGCTGAACTGATTGCTACAGGGAGTATGACAGGGCACCAATAGCATCTGCTACAGTTGGTTAAACTGTGTTCCCTTAGAGAGTTTTCTTACATTGTAATCTACATCTAGTTCACTGCCAAAACCTGGGCACTTCCCTAGAGGCTCCAAAACATCCATCTCCAGCTTACTCTTAGTACCACAAGTGAATCTGAACTACTTAGACACCTTTACGAAATGCCAGGGTATAATAGGAATCCAACATGGAAATCATATTCACATACATTGCTGAAGGAAGGGTGAGATGGTATAACATTTATGGAGGGAACTTTATATATAATGTATACATTTAATCCAGTGATCTCATTTCTAAGAATCTTTCAACAGATATCCTGCCATAAAAAAGAAACAACATACACATACAAAGTATTCACCATGACATTGTTGGCAATAAAAGATTGTAAATAACCCAAATGGACATAGGAAAATGCTGAATAAACTGTGATAGATACATGGATGCAGTAAAATATATGTCTAGGAACTGAAATAAATTATTTTTAGGATATGCTGTCAAAGTGAAAAATATAAGATACACAATAGGGTAGCTGGTATATTACTTTCTGCATAAGAAAAGTGGGGAATAATTATTTATATTATTGCAAAGTGGGGAATTTTTATATTATTTAGTTTTGCAAAAAGAAACACAAGACATATAACTTAATAAAACAGAGAAAGAATGAGCCAGAAAAGTTAAAATGGTTATCTACAAAGAGTGGGTTGGAGGAAAGTGATAAGAGCAAGATAACTTCCTATGTAGTTTTGGCTTTCAAACCCTACCAATATTTTATGTGTTAGAAAGTAAAGTCAAAGAGAAAGAGTGAAAAAGGTAAATAATATCTTAATTTTAAAGCTATTTCCTATGTATTATACTAAAAGGTGAATGAATGCTTATGATAATGATATTAGGAAGCAGATTCCACTGAAAGAGAAAAGATACATTACATATAAGGTAAAAGAAAGTAAACCAAGGTTCTAAATGGCAAATTTAAGTCAGGATTATCAATATGACATGTTCATTTTTTTAAAAAAATTTTTAACTCCGACTGTAGAATTCTGTACAATTATAATACTAAAGAGGACAGCTTGCACTTAGATTTCCAAAACCATTTCTTCACTTAAAGAGCCAAACACTCCTTGAAGAAATAGCTGATTCCAGGCACAAAGGGAAACTCGAGAATGAGCTTAAACCACCTGTGCCAGAAAATAACCAAGTGCTCAAAGTACTGAGGGTCTAACAAAAGCACATAACAGCCACTTTGCAGGGTTTCACTAGCTGAATCTCGAAAACTTTGATCATCAAAATGAGCCAGGCATGGAGGTGCACACCTGCAATCCCAGCACTCAGGAG